CTGTTACACGAAAAAAAACTTCAGCACTAGGGGTGTAAACACTGGGGTCAATGGCACACTGACTGAAGACTGGCACAATGGCCTAGAACTTGACTATCTCCACATACTCCCGACTGTGGCATTTTAACACTTGTTTTAAAAGAGCAGTAGAGTAAGAATGATCCCCACCAGGATTGCTGAAAAATCCTCACTTGTCTGACTTCATCAGGATTACAGGTTTGTTTCTTAACAGAAACAGACATTAACACAGACTAATTAGTACAGCTAATGCTGATGTTGTTTTTACTGGAGAGTTAGTCAGTATCCCTACATATAAAGTGAGACACTTCATGTTTAGGGAATATATTAACCCGATTTGAACACAGAACAAGAGGAATGCCAAAGGTGTTTTCCAATATGACAGACTACAATTATAAAGCTTTGAGGACTTATGCAAATATTCTTTGACTGCTGTAAACCTATGACGACACACATTTTACAAAGTTATCCAGGATCTTGAATAACAATAAAGGAGATCAATAAGGATGAGACTCACTAGTTTCTGCGATTCCAGTAAAGTAGAATTTCCCAGTACCCCAGTGTGTTCCAGATGAGCGCCTTCTTAATTAAGCTTAAGGAGCACTAAACTGCTCGCTACAGTAAGTGAAGGTTAGAAATTAGCATTAACCCTGAGATAAAGTCTGAACTTCAGAATTCTTCTTATTTCACTTTACTAAGATGGAATTGAACCAAGGGATATATCGAGCAATACACGCTTCTAACTTTGACAGAGTGCTATTTGTATACATAACTAACTCATTACCAATGAGTTTAGAGCTGAAGGAAAAGCAGCCGTTTTAAAGCCTCTCAAATAAGCACCAGTTCACTACAATTCTTGGAAAAAAAATGTCATTTCTGAAAGCTGAGAACAGTTAAATTAGGCATTGGCTAAAGCTTAATTAATCAAGGAGCACAGCTGGAGCAAAATCCAATCCAACAGGGGTACTTTGGGCCTGTGTCTGAGAATCACCGCAGTAACACATTCCCTTAATCTTGGTACCATGTGTTGTAGCACAATGCACACAGAACATGAAAATTGCATAATGTAAAAGCTACATTTGCTATACTGCATGGTTAAGAGTTCACACAGAGCACAGTGTGGTTTACATTAATAAAGAAGGCCAAGGATCATACTGCGATACTGTGAAAAGGGATATTTGTATCCACACAATAGAAGCTAGTTTTTAACATGATTGTACGTCGGTATCAGGAAAAGTGCTCAATCTAAATAAGTGACTTTTCTTCCTTGGTGAAGGGCTGGTGCAACGTTTAAGAAACCTTCCTTGCAGAACAAACGGCAGCGTCGATTTATTCAGGCATTTTGTTAAGGCAATTACATGCTAACGAATAATTCTCTGCAAGTAAAAAATATATATACATATACGCTAAAAAAATATGTCTAAAGTAAATTGTTTATAGTGGCATGCTATGGAGGTGGCGCCGCCTGGTGGTGAGAGAAGGTCCTACAGCTCGGCCTCCTCACTTGGCCACAGGCTTGGGAAGCTGCACTGGTGGCAGGTTGTGCAGTTTGAAGTAGGACACCAGCTGCGCGGGCACCTCGGCCAGCACGCTCTGCGCCAGGGCTTCCTTAGGCGCCTGGGAGGAGGACAGAGATAAAGAGAGAGGGGGAAAGAAAAGAGGAGGATGGAAATATAGTCCATTGGGAGGAGCAGTGTGCCCCACTGCCCTGCGCAGGATGTACATCAGCAAGAACCACACTGCTCAACAAGGGGGTACAGAGCTGTAGATGGACCTGCAACACAACACAGAGCCAGACCAGGAAACCAAAATCAGGGCTTACTGCCCCCTGGCCTACAGGATGAGCTGTTCAAGCTGGCCTTTGGACAAGAGAACCATTGATCCCGATAGTCTGGAAACAGAATACTCTGACCCTACAAATCTTTTCACTTAAAATGTTCTTCCCAACAACTTCAACCACAGGGCTGGCCCCGACTGCAGGACAAGGCAAGCCTCCGTCTTCTTACAAAAAATAAACTACAAGCGAAACCACCCAGCAGATACTTTTAAAGCCCGCTGTTACATCGCATCGGCTCGCCGCATCTCTCGAGCCGCCGCCGTGCGCGCCGCAGGACCCCGGGGAGGAACTCACGTTGGCGAAGTTCCTGAAAGGCACGAACTGCACGATGTCGCGGGCCACGGGCTCGCCGGTCAGGGACTTGAGCACGCCGTTGTCCCCGTCCAGGAATTCCATGGCCTTGAAGTCGGCCTCCCCGACGCCCACGATGATGATGGACATGGGCAGCCTGGAGCTCTCCACGATGGCCTGCCGCGTCTGGTCCAGGTCGGTGATCTCCCCGTCTGTGATGATCAGGAGCACGAAGTACTGCTGCCGGGGGACAAGGGGGCAGGACGTCAGCGAACCGAGAGCAGCACCGCGCGTGCACTCCCACTTCCTCTTCGCCCACCGCTGCAACCGGCTGGCCATTCACCTGCTCACCCACTCCATGTGTGAAGTGGTCTAACTGTACGAACTGCACGACACGGCAACTTCTATTGAGGTGCTAATCCTTGCACTTGTATAGCCTTTTCTGGACACTTCACTGAAAGTGCTCTACAGTGTGCAGCCACACCTGGATGATGTGACAGCAGCCAGAGAGCGCCGGTACGAACACCACACACCAGCTATTTGTAGGGAGGAGAACAGCAGTGAAGCTAAATCATAGATGGGGATTATTAGGAGGCCATGATAGGTACAGGAACAAGTAAAGGTTTATTCCATGCTAAAAACAGAAGAAAAGACACACGACATTTCGGCTGTGGAGCCTGTGTGCGACACCCGAAGAAGGCTCCACAGCCGAAATGTCGTGTTTCTTTTCTTCTCTTTTCAGCATGGAATAACCATTTACTTGTTCCTTTCCAGCCTACGCATGCTGACGCAGCTGCCTACTTGAACTACATGATGGGTATAGGCCAGGGGAACATTTGGCCAGGACACCAGGGTAACAACCCTACTCTTTTTTGAGAAACGCCCTGGGATGTTTAACGACCACTCCTATACTGGGGTATCAGGACCCACACAGACCAGAGGGTGAGCGCCCCCCGACTGCTCCCACTAACACCTCTTCCAGCAGCAGCCTTAGCTTTCCCAGGAGGTCTCCCATCCAGGTACAGGCCAGGCTCAGTGTGGGGCTGCGAGGTGCGAGTTGCAGGGTGACACAGCTGCTTGACTTCAAGCAATGTGCAAGGGCCTCGCCCTGTCCTTGTATTTCAAAGGTTCGGTGTGGAACAGGGGGGCTCGTTCTGAGACCTGCGGTCTACGGAGTCGGGGTGCTTACAGCTGCCGTGCCCTGCTGAGCGGCTCCCGCCGCGAACCTGGCCACGTGGTTGATGATGGGGGAGAAGTTGGTGGGTCCGTACAGCTTCACCTGGGGCAACGCCACGCGGTAGGCTTCCACAATCCCCTGTATGCCTGCAGAAACACATGTGCAAACCCAGAGTTAACAAAGCAGGATGCACATCAATAATCACAAGATTATCAATTCATCTGTCGGACGATTTTGACCAAAATGACTTTCACCTGTATCTGTTTGTACATCAGAATATTTGACCTGAGCAGCCTCAGTGAAGCACCTGGCTCAGGGCTACAACTGCAGTGTTCCCACCCAAGACTGCAACCCCCAAGCTCCTAATCCTAAATCCAGGACCCACACCACCCCTGCGTACTGCCGCCTCAAGAAAAAAATCCTGAATACTTGTAAAAAAACGACGACGACAAAACGCCCGCAAGCAAACTGCACCTCACCCTGGCAGTAAGGATTGCTGGGGTTGAAGTTCAGCGCAAACTCATGGGACACCTTGAAGAAACAAAAGAGAAATTAATCGGCACATTTCCCACACTCAAGTGCTTAGGGAATCTTGATTACAGTCGGCTGGGGCCATGGCCCAGGTTCGAACCCATGTTGACAGAACTCTACCTATGGTCAAGGCCAGCTCCGGAGGCCCCTCTTACCTGAAAGTTGGGCGGCACCTGGGCTCCGAACCCGAAGGCAGGGAAGAGTTTGTCTCTGCAGGAGACAACGAGAGAGAAGGGGCTTTAAAAAACTCAAAAACAGAAGGACTGATGCTGTCGAAGACAGACGTCATCATAAACCATCTGAAGATGATGTGAAGAACGTTAGGAAACACAACTGCATATCCTGATCCACTTCGGTTTAAACACAGACAACGGAAACGGAGGCGGGGCAGCGGGTGTGAAAGTTTCTTACGCGTCGTAGTCCTGGATCACCTGCCCCACGGACCAGATCGCAGAGAGGTACTGGTTCAGCCCGTTCGGGCTCATGTAATGCAGAGAGTCGGGGGACCGCGGGTCTCCATTGGACCCGGTGAAGTCAATCCCCACCTGAGAATAACACAATGGCCAGGCGTTTGAAAAGCGGCACCCCAAGACCTTAGTGAGGCTCTGGGGCGTACAGGCGCAAGCCGAGTGTTAACTAAAACACACTGGTGGGGAGGGGGCTACTTCGTACACATCTCTCACACCTCTGTTTACGCTACGACTTTCTCCCAGATCAATAATTCAACAGGAAGCCATGTGATGAGCGCACTGGGAGAGATGGGATGATTACTAGCATTGGCGTTTCATAACCAAGCAGGAGAAACGCGTCGCACGTTTTGCTTCATCAATCCAACACTACAGAGTCAGAGTTATACACATCAGGAAAAAAAACCAAGGTTTTCTAGTAGCAACAAGACTAAATGCACACAGTGAGGGCCATACACTGTGCACAGATTCACTCGAGCGCAGGCGGCTGCCCACTCAGGGTGGAGAAATCGGGTGACAGATTTAGAAAGCGCATTTCAATCGTACATTTACAACTGAAAGACTTACTGTGAAGTTGATCTGGCACCCTCCCATGATGTAATCCAGGAATGAGTAATCTGCCACAATCTGTCAACATCAGATCAAGGGATCACACAACAGCAGAGCAAGGAATCACAACTGTGAGGGAAGGCATGGTGACATTTTACAGGCGAAGTGTGTATCTAAACCCACACTGCCATAGCCAGAGCGAGCAAGCCGTTAATCATTATCAGAGCAATGCTGACAAAGGAGCATAGCTACTGTGTTTTTAGGAGGGCTTGTGTTAATTCATCTGTCATTTCTATGCATCGAAGGCAGTAAATCCAGACATCCAGAAACCCTGCTGCGCCCCAGCAGGTTATTAAAATCAAAGAGAGGTCATCTCCACGAGAGATGGCCAAGCAGAACACCTACCTTGCAAGACCTGATCTTCACCACCCCGGAGTTTTTGTAACTTTTCTTCTTCTTCTGCTTCTCAGGGTGAATGCAGTCAAACTCCACCTTTATAATGCAAAGAACGATGGGGAAAATCATTTAAATTCTCATTGAGAAGTACCACTGTTAACAGCCCTGATCACAAAACTGGAGAATAACAGAACAAAATCCATTACCACCACAGAAATGGACCAATGTGTCTTGTGCACTGCTATCTAACCGATATCAGTAAGACCCTGAATTAAGGTAGAGAAAGGTACAGTCTTATACACTGCAAAACTTAACTGGTTTCTACAGAGAACATGAAGATTACAGCTATCCAACCGATATCAGTAAGACCCTAACTTCAGGTATTGAAAGGTACAGTGTCAGACTGTAGACTAACTACAGGATTATGTAGCGGTTTGTAGGAACAAACAAGCATGGATGATACTCATCAGGCATTAAAGAAAAACACAATGAAGTAAAACACAAAGAAAGATCTCACCGGTGAAGAGAGGCTAGTTTTCTGCAGCTCAGAGACATTTGTTTGAAAAATACCGATGAGGTCATGAGAGCCATCGCTATCGTAATCAGAGCAATGGACCTGCAAGGAAGAGGAGAGCAGGGTTTTCGCTGGGAGACGAGGGGCCTGCTCACCGCATGATCTTTCACCTCCACCAGCTGCGCGGGGGTGGAAGTAAACTCCCCTATCATATCAGAACTGGTGTCTTCGTCCTTATCGTAACAAGTCACCTGACAGCAAGAGACACACTGGTCAGTACCAGGCACAGCCGGGAGGTGGCATTAGCACTAGGGGACACAAACTGTATAACCTGGCACGAAACTGCTAAAGACAAGGCAAAAACTAAACCCTGAGTTTTATTAGACAAGCACAGTCTCCTGCTTAAGGGTATTAGTCTTTACGCCCCATTTGCATTCGCTGCTTCAAACGTTTCTTTTTAAGGAAACTGAGACAATTAGCAGCTGGAAGTATTTAATTTCGTGTGATTCAGCTCAAGGAGCAAGCATGCAGTTAAACCTCCTACACACTGTGGCTTCCTTTCTCAAAGGATAACGAGAACCGCAGCTCAAATGGCAGATACGTCTGCAGGCTGGCAGGTAAGCAGTTGGGAAGGCTGGGCGGCTGGAGGACACTGGTGCACAGCTGCACAGCACATTCTCACCTTGATCGGCTTGCTCATATCGCTGTTGCAGAAGGTCTGGAGAGAGACCGAGAACTTCTTCCATGAGGGATTGAGATTATTTTTGATAACCTGTAAAATAAAAGCAGATTAGATAGAAAACAGATCATATTCCTGATTTTAAACCACAGAAGTCAAAGAGCAAAGACTGTGCCACTAAACACTGTCTTTAAAAGATACACACCAACAACAAGTTTCATTTTTAGGAAGTATGTTTCATAGCATAAGCTACTTTCTGTCCGTCCCTACTGGGTGTGAAGACAATTACAGATGAAAAAGGTATTTGCACATCTTGACAGTTATATTAATTTATTCAGTGTTAAAAACTCCAAGTGTGAACCACACTAGATGAACTAACTCTATACAGACATTTACGTAGCCAGAAGTCCAACTGCATTTACAGACAGTACCTCTGTCCGGTGAACAAGCTGCCACTTTCCATCATCGCCCTGTTTATAAAACTCCAGGAAAGGATCCGACTTCCCAAACAGATCCTGGTGAGAGACAGACAGGGGGGTCAGGGGTCAGGCTCTAGCTGGGCTCTGCCATGAGACGGGCCGTTTGACAGGCATTTCCAACTTGGCAGGGTGTACAGCAACTTCAAGGGGGGGGGATTTCAAAGTAAAAAGCGGTGCAGCACAAGAACAGCGGAAATCTAGCAAGACGCGAGAACCCCAGACCTGCCTCTGTTTTGACACAGTTGCCCAACCATGGGAAAAAAAAACGGGGGAACCGAAAGAGTATATTTGATTAGGATGGAAATTTGTGCCAACTCCAGATACATATTTAAAACCGCTACGCTCACCGCTTAGTCAAATCAACCCCCTTTCTCTGTACGCTGTGGAAATTCACAGCACGGCACCACTGTCTTACCTTTTTGTCCAGCCCGCGAGCCTCCACTTCCAGCTCTATGGCCCTGTTATCTTTGAGCTCCTCGGCTGTGATCTGCAAGAGAACAGCACCCAGCAGCATGAACAGCAGCATACAACTGACGGCCCACCGAAACGAGACGGGCCACATTCCTGGGGTACCCCCTATTTAATCAACCAAAATCAGACTCCCAGGGCAGAAAACCCACCCCATGACTTTAGCCCCAGACGCACGTCTGACTCAAAACGGTCACGATGACACTGGACAAAGTGCATTCTGCCACCCCAGATCTCAGCACTTACAGTGATGGTGCCTTTTCCTGCAGGTTTCCCTTTCTTCAGCTCCAGGGGTCTGATGAGCTTCTTACTGGACACCACCTGCAGGTCAAGGCGCAGGCATTCAGGAGGAGGGAGGGTCACGGGAGACAAAACTCTTTACTCGGAGTCGCCCTGCAGGCGTTCAGCAAAACGAGGCATGCACTCACGACACCGAGTGTAGCCAACTAAACGAAACTGGAATCTGAGGACTGAAGGAGTGCTGTGCTGACCACCCAGGGCAGCACAAATAAAACCCCAGACGCCTGTGCTGTGAAGGTGCTCGCTGTGCCATGAGTTACCTGCCCCAGAGTGCACTCAAAACCGCCCAGGTAGTCATCGTCCCCCAGGTCTGTGGACTTGTTATCGATGTCGTAGATTCCAAACTTCAGGGTCTGCACCTTCTCGAAGTAGTAATCCACGCGCAGCTTCTTGGAGAACTCCGGGTCCTGGCAGTTCTTTATCTTCTCCGTTCGGTCCAGCTGCAGTGACACAAGAGGAGGAGGAGGAGGAGGGGTTGGGACCCAGCACCACCGTCTGCAGCTGCGCAGTCACAGCAGATCTGCCTCGGCTGCGGAAACGCTCTCTTGGCCCGAATTTAACGTTTTGGTCCGCTACAGGACCCACGAAAGCTCCGCCCTTACAGTATTCTCCACAACTGTTAGACACACCCGATACCCAAAGGTGCTGCTTCATTTTTCTATTTTTGTTTTATAAAGCACTTTTCCTAAAACCCTAATCCCTCCAAACTTTCCTCCCTTGTTCCTGACAGCTTGTTCTCTTTGAACCCAGTGCGCTTCCCGGTATCAAGGCTGCCCACAAGGCAGGCAGGCTTTGAGGGGAAAAAAGTTTTTTTGCAAAATGAAGAGCTCAGGAGGAAAAGGCATTAGCACCATGCTCTATGGGGGGTGAGGGGTTGGGGGGGCTGGCGTTGCCACCAGGCAGTTTCCTCGCGACAGACGACGCTCCCCTACCTCCACCCACTTGTCGCCGCCGGAGTTCAGCAGCAGCACACACAGGGGGTCCGACTTGGAGCCCACATCCTTGTCGATGAGGTTGTTACAGGACACGGAGAGCTCGACCTTGGTGACGCAGTCTGCAGCCATCTGCAAAACAGGACAGGGCAACCCCACCGTCACACCTCAGGGGCTCACTGTGACTCACCCCCCGTCATCCGATTCCCACACTCCCTGTTAGACAATACATAGTTACACTCCTTCTGCAAAAATGACACGAATTGCTCATAGTATGTACAGCATGAACGACAGGAATCCAGCATACGGGCACACCAGATGGAAGCAACAGATTAAGTAGATTAGGGATCTCCGGTCAACAACAGGGCAGCACAGTAATAGTGGGGGAGTCTCTGGACTCCCGGCCGACAGGTTGGGTTTGCAGACCACTGAGACCCTGAGGTGTTAGTGGGGCCCAGCACTGCTGGGGTGGGGACCCTTGTGATGGTGCGTTGTCCTTTTGGGGGGGGGCATGGGGGAGTCACATGCTCTCTCGTCCCCCTGTCCGCAGCAGAAACCAGGGCGAGTTCTGGCCCGATGGGCAGCCGTGGCTCGGGCCTGGACCACACCCTGCCCAATCCGAACGCCCAACTGCAACTCAAGCCCGCAGTCAAACCAGAATTTCCAGAAAAGCACACCTGGGCTGCAGCAGAGCAAGTACAGACACCGACCCGGCACACTCCTCAGAAGCTGCCTGGCTCCCTGTCCCGCTGAATATCTTCAAAACACAAGCTGCGACCCTGAGAGGGAAGTCTGTCGCCGCTCGACGCAGAGCAAGAGAGAGGAACAGACGCTTCCAGTCGAGCGATCCACTGAATGAACCCCTCACAGGCAGGGAAAAGCCTCTACAAGCTTTTAAGCAAGTATTACACAACTAAGGAGTTAGTTACTAAGAGCTGATATACTGAAAAGGTTCATGGTTGCACTACTATAATTACTTACCACTGTCTTATTTTTTAGCATGCATAAGAACACAAGAACGGCTACGAGGACGTTTTATTACAGACCAGTTGCTGGAATATGTTGTTACTGTACTACCTGGTATTCTGCTTCACCCCAGTCATAAAAGCTTGCTAATTATTCCTCAAAGTCAAATCCTGAAATCCCTTTTTTTTTCAGTTTCAGTTACAGCGATACTCCGGGCACACATCCCTATTCGCAATCAACAGAAGTGCTTTAAACCACACAGGGGGGTTTGAATTACAGTATTTAGTGTGCAGCCGCTGGATTGATTTTATGTTAAACACAGATACAGGTGCGCGATTTCTACAGTGCGTTATTTCAATCTGAAACACTACAAGTACGGAAATAAATAAGTCTGAAAAAGGCAATATCAGCACTGCCACCGAACTGAACTGAAAACCTACCTTATTAGATCACCTTTGAAACCTTTGAAACGACGGAATTGATTACATTACACAGACTTTCCCACTTGACTATAACCGGAAATAAAATCAGTTTAAAAATTCTTCAAAGCATATCAGCTTCATACAACACAGGGCAATTTGAGACCAGTTCAAAAAAGTGGGGCGCAGTTTAATCCTCTTCAAATTCCGGAAGAGTCGACAATGTAGTCAAGGGTGTGTCTAATATGTGCCAGTTAAAAAGTGGATTGCACGTTCTGTTACATGTAAATAAAACTGAGACATAATCAAAGTATATCCAGTTAATGAGGTCTGGCTTACTTTAATTCTCCTTAAAGATGTTTTTCTCCTCAAGCTGTCTTTTCAAAAGTGACAAGGCGCTGGTCAGGACAGAAAATTACAAGTCGCATTTCGAGCATCTTTGATGAGGCACGGCCGTCTTAAACGCAGTGTGCAAAACTCGATTTTAACCTGATACAAGGCCGATTTTTAAAATACAGTTATCTAACTAGAAGCAGGGCCTCCTTCCGAAACAGCGCCAAGAAAGGCCAATCGTGCACGTTTTCCAACGATGCAAAGCTAAACAAAAATCAATCTAATACAACCATCAATCATATCGCTTTAAAAAAAAAACTTACCTCTCAAAATATTTTAGAAAATTAAGCGAATATTAATCGCGACAGCGCAAACCACTCCAGAGCAATCCCCCGTCTAGCAGTTTTTTTCTACTCCGTAGGTGTGGTCCCTGACCCACCCAACCCAGAAAGGCGTGCTGAGCTCCGATTGGCCACATGGGCTAGACAGCATCACGGCCATTTGACAAGACCGGCTGTCAATCATTGACGTCGTGCCCGCATCGCAAGAAGAAAAACCCGCCCTAACCACATGCGCTGCAACGTCACAAGTTCACTATGGCTCCGCTTTCCCACCTCTGCAAAGCGGACACTGTTGATCAGCTAAACCCCAGAGCCGGGGGGGGATGCTTCTGATGATCGCTCAGCGAAAGCATACACAGCATATCGGAAATACCGCAAAGCAATCACAGCCTGAATATGCTGGGAAAAGAGTATGACCGATAGCGATGCAGAATCGAGGTGATCTGACAGACGAACAGCAATAAACCACAATAAACCACAATCTTTATCGTGGCAAAGAACAGCAGCCGGTCAAAAAAGATAATGTCCGATTTCCGCTTCAGATTAAATATTATTCAAGCTTCACACCACCGCCGGTCGGCAGCGCCCCAGAAACGTCTTACACCTCTCCCGGGGTGGCCGCTGGGGTGTGTTAACCACCCAAATTGCACACCCCACAACCAGCCGCATCCAACAGGGGAGACCCACCGCCCAGCCGGGCAACTCGGTCTGAGTGAAGAGATGTGCAGGAGTCGGGGTTGCAACGGTGCTCATTAAAACCTGCATTTATTTTTATTTATTTTTTGCTGGTTGGGCTTTTATGTCTTCGCTGCGGTCTCGCCATGTACCGCCTTCGGCTACAGTCCTACCCCGCGCACGGCCTTGAGCTCAAACCACTGCGGAGCAAAAGAAACGCGAAAAGCTCAATTCGAGAACAAGATCTTCCAGAACACTGTGGAATTAAAGTTACTACAGACCGGCTTCCGCCAGGCTGCAAACTGAGTATCCACCTTTTCAGAGCTATCGCTTTCGTTTCTAACCCGAATCCCAGGCAACCAGACGAAAGTACCCTTCTCTTCCCAGCAGGGAAGACACCTGAACTCGTTCCTTTGCAGCCCAGGCGTGCTGAGGCAGCTCCCTGCTTGAACTACTTTAAACTACCCTTTTTATTTCCCCGAAACACCATTAACTACAAGACAATCCAACAATGACTTCGCCGTGTGGGGGAAAACTCCCTAAGGCAGCCATCGCCGAGCAACCCTCCAGCTCGACAGTGTTCACCGTGCCGAATCAACTGCACACAGCACACGAAGCATCCCACCCCAATACCAGGTTCACCATGCTAACCAGCAGTGAAATCCCCAAAATCACACGAGCCACAATAAAGAAGGCGCTTCTAATTGCATATCCACACGGGGATTGGTTCCATGAGTTCTGTTTGGAGCCGCAATGTTATGAACGTGAACCGCTGCCCTGACACGCACGCGTGGTTTCCAGTGTGTTCGCGGAGACAACAGTAAGACCCCACACACACACACGGACCGGGACAAGGTGCTCAAGTCACTTTTATGTGCAGCCACTCGTTTTTAGGCTCTAAACTCGCAAAAATACAGTATCGCCCGTCATCACGGCGGAGCCACTGGCTGCCTGGAAACCGCTCCAGCAGCCAGGCTGTAACCAGAGCGCTCAGAGCGATCCCTCGCACATCCTCCCAGAGATGGAGAGTCAAATATCGGCTCCGCACACGAGGCTGTCGACTTCCAGCCCGGCTTTCTCGTTTCCTTCCCACCTCAGCCATGACACTCCCGGACTGGACGTTCAGAGAAAGGTAGCTGGGGATCTGATTTCCTCAAAGGCTTCATCTCTCCCGAACAGCGTCCACATCTCCCTGCATCCTCCTCAAGACCCAGAGGAAAAACACACGCCAACACGAGCAGTCAGCCAGCCTGATCCACTGCCATTAACAGCTAACCCACGACAGCTTTAATTCAACTTCATTACCGAAGGCTCTCTTTATTCCGGGCAGATTTCACAAGCAGTGCAGAGAAACAGACCCACCACCAGTGGCTCCCGGTTCGTTCCAGTTAATTCCGAGACTATAAAGGGCATTTCTTTGCTACTAAAACTTCCTGGTTGTATCCATTCAGTTGTGCTTTTTTACCCCCGTTCCCCCGAAACCGACACGACCTTCAGCGCTCACCCAGGCTGACCTAAGCACGAGGAAGATGATGGTCAGGGAGCCCGAGGTCGCTACCACTGACCTCCTTACAACTCCAGGACTCCCTCCTGACCATGGTGCCCCTCGTGCTACAGTCTGCAAGGCAGCGATGATGCTGCCATCTGAGGAATAAAACGCTGATGAAGTGAATTGTTTGCGGTGCTTGCAGTAGTGTTGGGTAAACCTGTGGCCCACTGGGGTACATCCGACCAGACAAGAGCCCAGCAATGGTACCCCAACAAATTCTGAAACTCAGCTATCCACTGTGCTAATGCCAGAGGTGTTTTCAGAACAGCTCCCCTTAAGTTTATACTGAAGTAAACGGTAATGGGTTAGTATGGGAGACATCAGTATGATGTCGCACTGTTATGCGTCAATGATATGCTACCACTTGATGGACAACCTGTCTCAAGGCTGGTATGTACTACTTATAAATAACTAAAAAATAGTCGAGTATTCGCCATTGACCTGCACTCACTAAGATGTCTCGGTAATACAAAAATAACATGCCAAATAGGTATCTCCTGTCCTGAAGTGTTACGTTACAGGACATGACTCAGCTGATGTTGATCTTTTTGGGAGGGGATGTGGTGTGGTTCCCCAACAGCTAAGGCTGATCCTGAAGTGCCATCAATTTTCCAGCCGCCTTCTGTTAATATTCTGCAGCTTCTTTTCAAATGCTTGAAAAGTCCTTGATTGAATAATACACCACCATAATAATAATAATAATAATAAAATAATAATAATAATATTGAGGGGGCAATACAGTCCTAGAGACTGATTTGGGACAAATGCACTCCCCCTCGCTGTTCAGACTCTTAAAACAAAGTTTAAAAGCCAAACAGAATTTGCTTTTTGACAGGGTTTGCTTCTTGCAAATGATATACTGAAAAACACATTTATGTCACGCTTAAACGAGGTAAATTCTGTAAATATAAAACACCAACCCTGTTAATAGCAAACATGTAACTACTCTCACCACACACTGACATTCATGACTGAGTGCAGGCTCACTGTAGGGACTGTAAACTACACTGGAAGCAAAACAACCTAGAATTCCCACTATTTGGCCACCATGTACATTGAAATGGAAATTACTTTGGGAGCCACAGAGTGAGTTCAGATATTACAGAAATAGTTATACTGCAATACTGTAACACTCTGAACAAGGCTGATTATGTAACATTATTGTAATGGATGCAGAGGATGACCAACTCCTGATACAGTTTAAAATGCCTATTTGTCATACCTTATAATTAATAACTTATTATCTCTAGGCGATACAAAGAGGGAAATATACAGGGAGTCTATACTGTGGGGCACACCTCATCCACAGGCACGGTATTGTGTGAAGACAGCACTATAAACAGGACAAATGTATTTGCCTTGATTACATTCCCCATTCTAGCTTAAAAGCTCACTTATTTCCTGAATCCTGATCTTCATGGTTAAGACACTGTACTAGTGCAAAGAGGGTGAATGACAGAAAGTAGACTGCAATTGCCAATAAAACATTATATCAGCGTATCCTGGCTCAGGATAACAATTTAAATTCAGCAGCTTAATATCTCGGCTTTTTCACAAAGTTCCGCAGTACTTTGAAAAGATCTCGACACCAGCAAGGACAGCAACATCCACGATCAAGGGAGATCAAGTAACCCAAGAGAAAAAATAATATAAGAATCCTTAAAAAACGTTCCAGTTCTGGGCCAGAACCTCATTTCCCTGGGTATTAATATCAAGAAAAATAAGACTATGATAAAGCTCATCTCCCAGACCTACAATTATATTGTTGGTATAGATGTTACCAGTTTGGACAGCTGTGCTTGCTGGAACAATATCAAGACTCTTGCACCTTCTGTTCCACTGCACAGCAGCCATATCCCCACCTGGGACTGGAACCCACACTGCTACAGCCAGCTGGGAGACGACAGCACAGACATTCACAGGAAGGCATCAACAGGTCACCTACGTGGTCAGGATGACCAAGGTTTCCACAACAGCACACGGTCAATCGTGGTCCTGCAGAATTACTGCACACGTGAAAACTAACAAAGCAAAGAACCTGCATCAGCCACAGTGCAGGGGCCAAACTACTGGACTTGCCCATTCAACCTAGATGTACCCTGCAGGACATGCAACCCATGCAGAATGTATAAATACATACGTCCAATCGATATAATCCCATGACGTGGTTAAAACAGGACTTACCTTGCCCAGCCTGTACAGTGAGGCATCAAGCAAACCCGTAGAGTCAGTATTGTGTGAACAAGCAAAGCCTCTTCACGCCCGACACAAAAGCACAGACAGGAAAACCGCCACAGACCTCGGTCAGTGTGTAGAACTGGCCCCAGGTCGAAACCATGTGCTATACCCACCGCCAGGAGCACAGGGGAACAACAAACAAAAACAATGGTGTAAGTACCCAACTGGCCTACACTGGCGACTATACAACTCAGCATTAACATTACAGAAATCCTTCAATTACAATACTGGCACAACACCCTGTTAGGCATGTCTGTATACTGGGCACCTGCCATTAAAGCAAGAAGCTCAGGATGAGACTGTGGGCCCAGAGGGACAGGGCTTGACTCACCTGGTCTCTGCACCTGCCCTGCACTCAGAATCCCCTCTGTCCCCACTGAGGTACAGAACTATACATACTGTTTACTGCAAACCTCTCGGGACACACCAATGTTATCTTCCCCCCATTGTGGCAATGTGGCACAAGGTTTAAAATTCCTCCTGAAAGGTTCTCTATCGAACAACAATGGATGATTTCAAAATAAGGTGCAGAAGTAGTTGAGAGTTTGCAACTGAAGCTACTCTTTCCAGTCAAAAACGTGATGTGGGCTTGATCATTTTCACATATATTGTGATCTACTGCTTACCCCCAGGTATTCCTGCTTGTTCAATAACCAGGATGTCACCCATGTGGACTTAAGAGATGAATCTCAGCAAAAATAAATCAAACAGGGACTAGTAGCTGTTCGTCCCAGTTCATGATCAAAATTAGCTACGTACTTGGTTTATGTGCAAAGCTTTTGTTTGCAATTTTCAGTTTTTAGAGCTTTGTTTTGAGCAAATGGACAACAAAGTTTATTCTCCACGCAGGCCATTCCACTGCAAGCTGTTCTGTATGCTTCCGTTCTATTAAATGTTCAGGACAGTGCCATGTTTGCGTTTAAATACCTACAGCTGTGTATATCAATCCTTAATTTTTTTACACACATGCATCCCCACCTTGGCACACCCTGGGGTTGGACAAGCAATGCTGAATATGCATGGCTAGCTATACTGCAGCTGTGTGAAGATGAACTTACTCAAAGCAGCTTAAAAAAAAACAACTTCCCTGCCTTTTGGACAGTATAGCTGTGAGTTAGGCAATGGCTTTTAGGGAAAAACAGAACTGTGCAGTACACTGACTGAGTCTTTAACAATCTGCTTGACTTCCAGCAGCTCTGTACAGTTGTGATGCTACAATGTGCAGAATATGTCTCACCATCAAATGAAAGCAGAACTGTATCAGCCAGAAACCTCAGATGACAGCAGGCTAAACAGAGCTCAATACCTTGAAAGACACTGGAGCATCAGACACCGTCTCAAACTGAACACAATATTGTCATTGATCCCTTGTCCCCCCCGTGCAAGTGTTGCCGACACATGGAAACAAATGCATTTATTTTTCATACCCCCATTCCCACACAGAGGTCTTAAAGGAGCAGGTCAAGAAAAAGCACAACGATGAGAATATACATGGTCATTTCATTGAATTCACTTTTAGAAATGCAGTTTATTTGACAGGCGTGTAAACTAAACAGTATATACAACTGCAAAACAAGGAAAAAAAGAACAAGAACAACATTTCAGCTGGAAAAGTCACAGTCAGGAATCCAAATGAATGCAACATTTCTATTACAAATGATCTGGTTCAACAAAACCAAAAAACGAGGCATTTCCAAACAGGAACGACATCTAAGCAAGACATGATGCCTTTTTAAAAAATGCTCATACTACTGTACATAGTTGTAAAGGCTTGCAAGAGGAAAAAAAATTCAGGCTGCTGCCACTTGATTGTTTTAGAAAAAGGGACTCATCTGCTGCTTAAAATTCCGGAAAATAAAATCGCATTTCAATAACCACTTGCAAGATGCTTTGAATTTTACTAATTCTGGTTAGATCTGGGAGATTCCCATGAATTGCGGCCGACAGCTTTAGTGTTGCATTTACAAGGGAAAGGCTGAGGGGGTTTAACTAAAACACGGAAAGCTTGCAAAGCAAGCTAGCGCAAGAAAACCTTGCAAACTTCCACCTTAAAGCGGCCCAGTGTGTGCACACCCCAGCGTACAGCCACGTCATGTATTCAGTACCGGCAGCACGCTCGATCTCTTTCAGAAGCGCAGGAAGAAATGAAACGTCATTCAACAATTAAAATACAAATACACAGAGGTGTCGGGTCCTTTAACAAAACTATCACATGCTTCTCAACACAAGGAAATGTCAGCTTTTGGACATACAGAAGCAAACTACATTTCTTTACTACACTGCTTCAGAGCTGAGTTCTCCGCTACCTGGTTTAAGAAACCTTCCCTGCAAAAGAAGGAGCCCCCCCCACCCCCCAACCTACTGGGATTAATCAAATTACTGGGTTAAATCCATAACACAGCTGTTTCCCTGTCTTGTGCAACACAAAATAAGATAAAGGTTCTATTCCATAAGACTAACCCTTTGTGTTTAGTAAAACTGTTCTTCCACACATTTTTCCCCCCCCACAGGAGTAAGCACAAAGTAACACAGCACAGCTCCTTGTGGTGTTTCGCGATCTTAACACAAACGAATGGAAAAGAAAACAATCAGCACACGGTTGTCTCTCATCTAGCCCAGCGTGATCTTCACTTTCCTCGACCCTATAGGCCGGTCGTTGAGGTCTAAGACCGCGGACATGGCTTCGTCTTGCGACTCGAACGCCACCATGGCCTCGCCCGTGGGCATGCCTTTGTCGCTGAACTGAAGGCAAACCGAGCCCGGCAGGACCTGATACCCGTAGAAGAAATCCAGGATTTCGTCCACGGTGACCGTGAAGGGCATGTTCTGAATCTTAACGATGGTGGGGCGCTGGCTCCCGGGTCCCCCGCTCAAGCTGGGGGGCCCCCTCAGCGCCTCGGAGGATGGGGGCCCGTAGCCGGACTGTGACCCCCCAGCCCGGCCCTGCCCGCCGCCGCCTGCTCCTCCTCGGCTCGGGGGCCCGCTGCTCTTTCGGGGTCCGTTATCGAACGGCGGCAGCCCCCTCATGCTCTCGGGGCCCCCCGGAAACACCGGGGGCCCGCTGGTGCTGCTGGGTCCAGGCCGGAAGCCCGGGGGCTCCAGCATCGGACTGGGCAAGTGGCCTGGGACTACTGGAGGAGGGACACTGATGGGAACATCGCCCAGCCCGCCCCCTACCCCTACAGGGGGCAAGGGAGGAGGACCCCCAAGTCCATTGCCAGGCGCGCTGTACAGCGTGCCAAAGGGAGGCCCATTGGTTATGCTTCCTGAACTGCCCCTAAGGAAGGCGTACTCATCCCCTGACACGCTAGGGTACGAGTGAGCTTGGGGAAGCTGCACTTTCTGTCCTCTCTTGACCTGGGGCGGCGGGTTTCTCTCGATCTCTTTCATCTGCTCGAAAGTGACCAGGTGCACGAAGGCATCCCTGCCGTTCAGCTTCTGCCTGTGCAGCCGCTCGGCCTTGAGCGCCTCCTCCTCCGACCTGAACTGCACTACGGCCTGCCCTAAACCCTGGCCGTTGCCGTCCACGAGGACCTTGAGGCTGTCCTCGAACAGCTGAATCCCTTCCAGGAACAGCTGGACGTCTTTCTTGGACACGTTGTAGGGAATATTGGAGATGTGAGCGCAGCTTCTGGAGGAGCTCTTGTCCCCCCCACCTTCAAACGAGCCGGTTTTATGGTCACCCTGCTGCGTCCCCTGCATTCTCTTCCTAATGACATCTATCTTTTCAAACATGCCCTTCTTAGTGATAGGATGGACCTGAATGAAACGGCTGCCCATGTACTGCATGTGGCAACCCAGAGCCGCCTTGTAATCCATCTCATTCCTAAACTCAACGAAGCCCTCTCCGGTCGCCCTGCCATTTGGTCCATATGCGATGTAGATGCTGTCTTCCACGATATCTAGGTTTTTGAAAAACTCGAATATCTGCTTGTTCTCTGCTTCATAGGGCAGTCCCTTCAGATACACGCAGAACTCCTGCTTATGTGGAGAACGGGACCGCGCCCGATCGCGCCCAGAGGGAGACTCCGAGCTGGATCTCAAGCGCCGGTGGTGGTCCTGATCCGAGTGGTCGCTGCCGTGTTTCGACTGGCCCTGGCCCCCACTGTAGCTCGACGCCCCGCCCGAGGCCAGCCACTGCCTCTCGGTCGCCGGGGAAATCTCTACGTAGCGCTGTCCCATCATTGCCGCATTGCGCTTCAGCGCTTCAAACGCGTCCTGAGGCATGAAAAACTTGGCCAGGGCCCTGCCGCTGCTCCTGCCCAGGTGGTCCCGGAGCAGGCGGACGGAATCCACCCCCAATCCGTGGAAGAAGTCCCTCACATCCATCTCGGTGGCAGAGAAGGGCAGTCCCTGGAGGTGCACATACAGCTCATCCGGGTTGACCACGGGGGGCTTGAGGTGAGCTTGAGGATTCAGGGGTCCAAGTGGGTTCATCGGGCCAAGGAACATGTGGTTGGGGTTGCCCATCGACATGGGTGGCCCCGAGCCACTCAAACCACTGGGCACTGGACCGACTGGGGGGGGGACACCGGGATTGAAAGGTGGCATTGTGGACATAGGAGGCATGTGTGTTATGGGGGGCACAGGGGGCACTGGGGGTATTGGTGTGGAGGGGGGCACTGGGGGTAAGGTGGATACTGGTGGTGGAACGGGCATGGGTGGGATTGAAGGCATGGGTGGTAGAGATGGCAGGGTGGGTAAGGGTGGCATAGGAGGTGGTACCGAGTTCAGGGTGGATATGGCGGTGGTCATGGTGGAGCCCATAGTGAGACTGGGGCTGCTGAAGTTGTTGCTGTAGCTAGGAGGTATGGTGGACATGCTCGCCGTGGAAAACGTGGGAATGCTCTTGCTTCCTACGGGCTCGTGCGCGGAGGCGGCCGCCGTGGTCACCACGCTAGGAGTGGGGCTGCTGAAGCCTTGCATCGTGGTTGGCAAACTACCCCTCCCACTCCCCCCAGAGCTGGCAGGAGGCCCCGGTCTGCTACCGTTGCCCGCAGGCGCCTCCAAGTTCCCGGTTTCAAAACGCCTGCGGCTAAGCTCAATCATGTTCTGCATCTCGGTCTTGCTACTCAGCAAAAGTGACACCTTGGACCCCTTGATCGTCCCCCCAGTACGCATCATGCCCAGCCTGGCATCTTCATCGGTGGCGAAAACGATAAAAGCCTCACCATGTTCACCCCCTACTATATGCACCCCACCATCCGGGATGGTCAATCCAGAGAAGAAATGGCGTATGTCCATGGTCCCCGCCACGATCGGCAGACCTTGCAAGCGGATGACCACAGCCATGCTGAGGTGAACCGACACACACCTGCAGGTGAAAAAAGGCAACGTCCGGGTCAGACTCCTGGATTCACACAGCAAGAACAGACGACTGCAGTCAAGACCTCCTGGCAACTTAACAGCACAATCACATAAGACAAACAGCATCATTGTTAGCAGCATGAAGTGTGGGTACAGAGTTAACACATCTTGGCACACACGCGTGACCCTATAGACCTTTCCTATTCCATATGGACCCAGAGCGTGTCGGACCTCAGAGAGTTAGCTGCAGACTCACAGACTCGCAGCACCACACTATGAATTAAGAGAATCTGTAACAATTTCATAACATACAAATACCCTAATTTTACGTGACCCTCTTCGTTAAGACATAGCCCAGTTACAGCACTGCGAAAATGATGCTCAGCAATGGCGGAATTAATACAATTTTAAAAACCCCAAAACCAGTCAGTGGGTTTACCAAAATTGCTGATTTACTGCAGAACAAGCCTTAATTCTGTCACATTCTTATGAAATGATTTATCTTGAGTAAATAAGCCTTAACATCAACTAAACATGGTGTATAATGCCCTCTTATAAACTAAAAGGGAAGTAATAAAAAGAGGTTAAGATATACCAGCATGGACTGACGAGCTTGAAACCAATACCTAAAGTAAAAAAATCATGTACACACATTTCCCATTTGGATAACATTGCTTCTTCAAAAGTCCCAGAGCATATCAAACTTTAGCCCCAAAAAACAGTGTAAAACAGATCACATTAAAATTCAAATGGCATTAAACAAAAACAAAAATAAAAAACAATCAGCATGTGAATTTCAAATCCATGAGCTTTCCAGACGTTGCATCTAAACCATTCATAATTTCAGAAAAGCACACAGCAAAATAAGTGAAATGCAAACCCCTGGACACAGTAATAATCAAGGCGAGTAATCAACTCTGAGAAAATCAGAATCCCCTCTTTAAAATTCAGCTCATTAGAAATGCTGCACCGCAGTAACGCTAATGTTTAACATCTCCTAGCAAATGTACTCAAACCACTGCAACCATGTCTCATCGCAGCATGGAGTCGGAAAACGGAAGGCAGATTTGAAATTCCATGTTAATCAAACCAGCTAACAGAATATTGCAACAGAACACACAGGAAAAAAAGAACAACATTTGAACAAAACCATTAGAGTGACAAAACAGTTGTGCTGTATTGGAGTGAAGGCATGTAAGATACCTGTTTCAGAGCAGCATGAATCATCCCAGACTTCACCGTGGGCCAAACCCACCCAACCCAATCCTTAACATGACCTTGTCCTCCGACTGACAGGACCGTGCCCTATAGATAGACAGAGATGACCCACAAACTGTCCTCCGGCATGTGCTCAGCACTCCTGGTCAGCTAACGGCCAGCTTCCACAGCAGTCAGTGGGCTCAAAACCCACAGAGAGACAAACAAGTTAACTCCTTTGGCAGGAGTCCCCTCCTGGGGACCCCCAAAACCTGCTGGTTTTTCCAGCCGAGCTCTCAGCTCAATAACTTCGCCCACATTTCAGTTAGCAACCCGATTCTCAAGTTGCTTTCTGACGCATGTCAGACGATGCATTTTATGGTTTCACGGGGGCTTTAAGATCTAAAACGTGGAGAAACCACAAGAGGCTTGCACAGGCTCCAATCAAACAGCTTGCTGGTTCATTGAAGAGCTCAGTCTCTTCCACAGTGCTCAGTGATCACTTCCCTTTAAACAAATCTCCCAGTACTCACTACTTCTTCAAAGTGGGTGACGCAGACAGGCATCACTTACACCGAAACATTTATTAAAACCTTCACTGCAAAGGTCACGTTTGAATTATTTTCATTCCACATGTTTGCCAATTATAACAAGTTTCCTCAACGATCCCAAGTCCATCACTGCATGTTTCAGTAAAAATGTTTCAATCATCAGGTTAACATCTGCCTACAATGACCAATAATAAAGAGAAAGCACTTCTATTGATTTAAAAATTGTAATGTCCTAGGGTGCCAGTTGGATCTTTGAGACAACAGTAAAGGTGCATCTATCATTACAACAGCACAAACCACAACAAATTCAGAAAATGGCTTTTAACAGTTTGTCTTGATAAGCATAAAGTAGAAATTCAAAATCAAAACAGGCACAAACTTGACAAAAATTCCTGCTTGGGTTTGCTGCTCTACCACAGACAAAGAGAGGAGAAAATCTTTGCCCGAGGGGTGAGAGTGTGGCTGCAGGGAACTCCACCAGTAATTGCTTCTTTGTAGAATTAACTTGTGAGAAACAATTACGAACACCTTCATCTGATTAAGGTTTTAACTATAAATAAAGTTTAGTAACCAGCATACAACATTTCATAAAATATCTTGGCACCTGATTTGAAGTGATTTAATACTGGTATTGAAATGTACACAAGGCAGTACTTTAAGAGAGGTGTAAAACAGGCTGGGACATGATTTAGTTTTACACCGGTCAGAAAACTATTGGAAAGGGCTCTGCAGGTTGCACCTGGGAACCGACACAGAGCAGGACAGTTTGCGTCAGCTGCGCGGTACTGCCATTGGCACCCAGCTTTGACTTTGAAGGTTTAATCCCCATTCAATGCTACGAAGACACATCTAATATTTATATTTATATCTATATTTATAGATATGGTCACATCTATATTTATATTCATACGTGTGATACGATTTTCTGTGTACTGTTCTGTTCTAGTTTGTTCTTGTGTGTCCGGACTGTGAGTAACTCTTGTATTGTATTGTATTGGATTGTATGTATCGTACTATTATTATATAATTTGTTACACTGTGGCTGTGTTGTGTGTGTTAAGCTACTGTTGCACTGCAATTTCCCTCACGGGATCAATAAAGTATCTATCTATCTAATATGTTTAAGGGAAGTGACGACTAAACACTGCGAGCTTCCAGCCATGCATACACAGGCAGAAGAAAGCCACAGGCTGTAACAGAAACATAACTTAACCTACATGCAATTGCAAAGACACCCTTAAGGATGAAGCCCCAAGTCAGCATGCTCCTTGCCCATCTGACCTCACACGCAGAGCTGCTAAAAGCACAGCCCACAGATCAATAAGCACGAGATGGGACGAGCGTCCTAAAAGGAAACGGCCAGACTTGGATCACTTCAATAAGAGGTTCATGAATCCATCGGCCATAACTGCTCCAAAGAGGGAAAGGGTATTCAAAATTAGCTGTCTATACCACGGCTCACAGCTGCAAAAAAAAAGTCTGGTCCAGTTCAGAAATGCTTACCTGCGATAATAAGTGGCGTTTTCCTTAAAAGTAGCACAGGGCACCCAAGCCAATCCTGACGGCAAGCAATTAAAACCAATTTCTAGACTGTAACAACAAAAAATAGATGGGAGGCAAAACATGAATGCAAGCAAGAGGCAAGAGCAGCCACCCCCCCAGTGTCTGCCTGCGGGCTCACAGACCACACTCTCTTCTCTGGCAGCCCTGGCATGCCCCAGCAGTCCCTGGAACAACTGTACCAGGCCCGGCCCACCCCCCCACCCCAGGCCCACAGCTGGGAACACACCACCCCCTGCAGCTCAAGAGCTGCAACTTCGGAAAGACTGCCGCACCCAAGAGCCATCGGCCATCACAGGAATCGCGCGTCGGAGCACAAGATAAAAGGGCAACACATCTCAGGAAACAGTGAAGAGAAATCAATCCATGAACATGCCACCAGCGGCTTTGGTGCAACTGCACAACAACACAAACAACATGACTCAAACAACAAAATAGTGTCCTATGCTCTTCGGGGTTTGCGAGAGTGTAGGCACTATTAAAAACAAGATAAACGCCTCATGCTGAATTCGACTTCAATAAGCTAAGTGAGGCTCGATCAAGTTCTTCTATGCATGTCTGTATCTCACCAAAGCCTCCTTTTTTCCTCACTCAATTTGAGGCACGATACCGATGAAAGCATCCACAACATAGCACACCCCCACAGCTCCGAAAACTATATCCCACAGCACCCCACCGCCAAAGCAAGAGGCTCTCTCCTTCAGCAAACCATGTGAAAAACGAGGATATCAGATCCCCCAACACAGATTCCAACCTCAGGTGTCCCTTAAAACTTAAGAGAAACACCTTTTCAACTTCAGGATTTTACTCGTGTGACAATTAAAACACATCTCTGAAATCAAGTGCAGAGAAAAAGACAAGAAGCTCCTGTTGGGTGAACACTGCATTCACGCCTTTAAAAACTGCTCCGGTTTCCGACGATCTGATCTGAAGGGTTCATTGTCGAGATGGAGAAAATAAGTTCTCTCCCCCCGTATTCAAACGGTACCTAGCGAAACACAAACCCATCTTTTTCACATTCTCCTGCCCTGCCACTCTCCCATCCCTGAAAGACACAAAAGCACTAAAAACCACTTCAAGGCCCGTGTCTACTGTCACAGAGAAACCGCTGCTACACGGTGTAAAAGAAGGTAGCAGGCATTAAGGAATCACGGATTTGCACCACACCCAGCTTCAAAATGAGACCGCACAGATCAGGGCTGCGTTTCACTGCCAGCCTACGGCCAGAGAGCACAGAGCCAGACCAGACCGAAACCTCCAAAAGATTTCAATCCCCCCAGCATGCAAGCGAAGAAAATACACCAAAGGCAGACTTAGGTCAGCAACGTTTCCAATCAATAGATTCTCTCCAAAGCCTTTCAGGAACACCAGACTTTCTCAGGGAGGTGCATCGCTTCTGACCCCCTCCCACCTCAACACCTGGACTCCTGTTTCACATCTGCACATCTGCATCTGGGCGGCCACAAAGCAAATCGTTGATCGGAACATTTCAACGACGTTTCAAACAGCCCCTGCTCCTGCTGCGCCTCCGACAAGCTTTCATAATAAAGAACACCACACACTAGGACTTCCCGTATGAAGAGCAAGACACTTATCCACACGCATTATTGCACAAATCGGAGAAAGATAAGTCCCAACCAAACGAAAAACCCCAGACCGCGACAAAGCCCAAGCAAGCACCGGCCCGTGTCTGGAGGCGGCAGGCCCGAACCCTGCACAGAACCGAACCAGCCCCGGCACCGAGCAGCCCGAACCTCGGAAACGGCTCTTTCCTGCAAACAGGTCCACACCGCCTCCACCCAAAGCGCTCCTGCCATCAGGAACAGGGCATCTGCATGGTTAACAAGGTCAGCAGGCGCTACAGGAGTGACAAAAAGCAGCATTTCGTATATATATATATTAAAAAACAAAGCTTTGCACACACATCCGTCAGTTCCAGTATCTGCAAGGCAAAGACCGCCCCAAAAAACAAATCTGCAACGATTTAAGGAGCCCCAAGTGCGTCCGAGCAGCAAAACCCCACATCAAGAACAATAAGGCGAGAGGCTAACCCGCTCCAGACCCCTTACGCCACCTACAGCAAAACGCATCATTTTTAAACAACAGTTCTCCCAGTCAAACATTAAAAGCAAACCCTTCACATCTTACCGCTCGGCTCTGCTGCTGTATTTTTTGTGTGTGTGTGTGTGGAAAGCGGCCACGCTAATCTACCCGACCGGTGTGACATCGGCAATGTCGGGAAAAAAAAAACACACAATACAATCCGGCCGTCGCGTTCGCCATCGCCAAAAACGCAGCGCGCCGCTGGGAAAGACACCGCACAAAAACAAAAACCCGACGCCGCCGTCTCAGGGGAAAAAAAACAAAACACCTCAATAATCTGATCAACGAAAACGTGTTTACTACTTCCCTGCCTTAACTGTCCCGATTTACAAGAGGAAGAACCCCACGCGTGAAGCTACTCGTCCACTACACTGCAGCAGGGCCTATCTGTATCCGCAGTGCCCACCGGCTCTGCTACAGTCTCTTTAAACTCCTCATTGTCGCTCTTTTGTGCGTATGTTGGTGTGTGCTGGTTGTGTTGTTGTTGTTGTTGTTGTTTTTTTTTGGGTTTCTTACCGAAAGTATCTGTACACAAACAGATTTATTTTAAATAAAGGAGACAGCCCGCAGTCGCTCTCCCGCTCCTCTCTCTCCCAGCTTCTCCCTCTGTCTCTGCGGCGGCGCTGCAAAATGGCCGCCGCCGCGCGTGCCCCGCGGCGTGGGGGGGGGGCGGCGTGGGGGCCCCACGTGACGGGCTCGCGGCCCCGGCGCTCACAGGCACCCCTCTCCAGCGGTGCTGGCTGGGCTGCGTCGTGCACCGTCACGCCGACACCCGAGACGGGGCAGCGGCGAGTGGATCACTCCGTGCATTGAATCCGAAAGTTAGTGAAAGGCGCGGAGCACCAGCACCCCGCAGACGGAAGGCGGACGCGTTTCTCGCGTCGTGCCACCCGGGATATAATGAAGTAGATTCAAGTTGCCCCCCCCCCCCCTTGAGGACGTCTTTTTTTATTTTTATTTTTGTAGGCTTCTGCGAAATGTGTGGACGCGTGGGCGTGGAGATCGCAAGGGGGTTTGGAGCGCGACCTTTGAATAACGCGAGAGTGGAAACATCTGCACATTTTCTCGGGTTGAGGTTTCCAAACTTCGGCGCACAGTAGAAGAGTCGTTCTTCGGCAGCAACCCCTGGTCGGCGTGTCCCCGTGTTCACAGCGGAGATTATCAGAATCATTTCAGCACCTCTGAACTCATCCATCAGAATTTATTGCTTTGGTTTGGTTCTCAAACCGCATAATTCATTCAGAATAGGTCTCTCTGACGTAGAATTAGGAGATCCCCATTAAACCCCAATGATTTTAATTTAGAACACGAGGTTTATAATAACACAAGGCAGGGAGACAGGTTTCAGAACAGTTTATTTATACAGATACAATGTACCACAAAAAAAGATCTCGCAGTGGCCAAAGGAAAAAGAAAAAGTCAAGTTTCTCCCCTGACCAGCAAACACACTGCCTACAGGAAAAGACACGTATTGGACTTGTGAAGTGAGGTGCTGTCTCTTTTTAAACGTCAGAATAGCATCAATGTATTCTCAAGTGGTACATCTACTCAATACAGTCAGCAAAACCTTAAGTTAAAAAAAAGCTTTAAAGCATTAAACCTTTAACAAGCAGCAATGATACTTCTGAAACATTGTGAAATGATTGTTTTATCTGTATTACAAAGGGCCAAATTATCTGGGCCCTCCCCATCCCACTCAAGCCAGTCTTCTGCTTAACATCTTCCACCCTTTATGACATTAAGATGTGCCGTCTGCAGAATGCAAGGTTTGTCTCCAGTTTTCACCATCTTCACAACCGTGACCATGATGAAAGAGCCGAGCACTTGGATCTGTCAAATGACACTGCCAGGCCTGCACAAAGACTGAACATCACAAAGGACCCAGTACTCCAGTCTCAGGAGGACCAGCGGCCTGACAAAGCTCAAGAAACCTGTGCATGAAAAAGCATTTATAGTACTTTCTGAATTGCAACAAAAACATTAAGAGGATTAATAAAATGCCCAAACTATCGACTACATACAGACACTCTTGACCTATTATTCTTTAAGATTTCTCCATTCAAGGCCACTGCACACCGAAAGGTGAGGCATATTCGCACGTATTCGAACGTTCACAGAAGTTATTCGTCGTTTTCACACCTTGCTAGAAAAACAAGTTCATATTAAGGAGTCCGTACGCCTGATACGATCACAAAGCCCGACGCTAGCCTGTGTTTGTATTTGATCTGTTCCGTTTCTACATGGGAGAAAACCGAGACCTCCTACCTCTCCCCTCCCCCCCCACCCTGAAACTGCAGCAGGCTGGAATGTAGTTCTTGGCCACCACAGGGGCCCTCTCTGACCCCGCAGGGTCCACACGGGGCCCCCAACCCAAGACAAAAACACACGGTGATTTAAATACCAACACCTCGCTGCTCGCCCACATACTAGCCTTTGGATATTAACGGTTTTCATTCTTACGGCAGGTAAAAAGAAAGGAAAGGACAGTCAGCCCATATTTTTTTAAAAAAAGATCAAATTCTTCCTCTTATGGTACCTTGCAAGTTTTTACGATCCCCGTTGTGCGTGGTTAAACGGACATTTGTTTCTTGTCATGTTTGTAATGTTCTATAGCAAGCGGAGAGAGACGACAGGCACTGGAATGCTGTCATGTGAGGGAGAAGAGGAAAGGACGAGGGGCGACGGGGACTCTGCAGCTGGAGATCCGGAGCAAATCCTGTCTAGTGCTGCGTCCACTTAATGCTCTTCAGGTCGATTCCTTCCTGCACCATCTCCCACAGCGGGCTGGAAAGGAAAATTCAAACCCTTTCAGTGTCAGACGCGAAGAGGTCGGCGAAGTGGGTTCCGATCAGGAACAGGGGCGGTTCTGGCTGCAACAGGCAGCGAAGCCGCTCGAGTGAAACTCTGTCATTGTACAAGTGTTTACAGAAAAACGGGCACCGCCAGCGCACCGGAAACGGGTTGGGTCCACTGAAGATTTCACGATTAAGGGAATCTAGAAAACTCGATTTGCTTTTTGGATTAAGAACATATGTGCAGAACAGTGGTGGGAATAAATTCATGAGCAAAACAAAATGAAAGAGGGAGCCACTGAGGTGGAAAGCTAAATGTTGGCCTAAAGCAGAAGAAGGAAACATTCCTAACATGGTCACAACACTACATGGGTTTCAGCCACCAGACAGAACTGATCAGACTGCTGTTGGTGGAACCCTTGTCTTTTAACCTGATCCAAAAGAACTGTCGCTTTTGGATCGGGTTAATTTTCTCTCAGCGAATCAACCGATCGTCTTGTCAGGCGACAATGCGGGGACAGACCTCATCTCCCTCAGCCTCTTGACCTGCTGAATGCACTTCTCCGCTGTGTAATCCACCTCGTCCTCCGTGGTGAAGCGACCGACTCCAAACCTGAAGAGGGAAGCCAGGATGGGACTGAGTCAGCACGGAAAACTACAGGTGCAAAAACCTTTCACATCCCTAAATAACGCAAGAGTTTCCCACACCATGTCTGCCTCTAGTCCTGCTCTTCAAAAGCCCCAGTCCAGCCCCCAGGGCAGCAGTAAACCTCCTACTGCTAAAGACCTTGAACTTCTGAATTGTGATCAATTGAGATTTGCTTAATTAAGCAATTTAGAGACTTTAACTGACTAAACTACATTCCAGACTGATCGATAATTTACTTGTGTTTCCACTCTCTTGGGAACCTTTCAGTGTTGGGGTCACCTATAAAACTGAACGCGACGGGGGTTCTTCTGGACCAGGGTATGAGAGCCCTCACCTAAATGTCATTTCTCGTCTGGCCACTAAAGAAACATGCACTTGACCTGGAACAAAAAACACAGATCGAAAAAGAAGGAGAGATACTGTCTAATGAAGAGTTCCTTTAGCAGGCACCTGATAGACGAATGAGCCAGGTCTTCGTCAGTCCCAATAGCTCGCAGCACGTATGAAGGCTCCAGGGAGGCGGACGTGCAGGCACTGCAGAGAGGCAGAAACATCTCAGGCTCCGCGAACTCGTCACTGATCAGAACAGCCATCATTATTAAACTGGGTGGGCGTCGTTTTTGAAGATTTGTGCCAATTCATTCATACAGCTGGGTATTTAACCCGAGAAAATGTAGTGCTTGTGCCTTACTCAAGGATACAACAGCAGTGGCCCAGCGAAGATCTAAACCCACAACCTCTCAGTTCCGAGTCCAGAGCCCAGCCCACTCCTCCACACTGCTTCATCAAGCCAGATGAGGATTTAACAACAGGAATAACCCTGAGTGCAAGAGAAGGGTATCTGACCCGAACCCCTTGCCTGATGCTTTCCACAGGGGGTTTACTTATGACAACACTTTCTATCATAATCCATGCAACACATACTTATAGTCCGGCATTAGTTTTAGAACCTGTGCTCTCAAGCCACCCGACAATTATCCGCATGTTCAGCTGCAAAGACTAAAAAAAAAACACTCAAACAAAAGATGTCAAGTGCTGGTTAAAAATAAAACAAAAGGAGCCAAAAAGAGCCGTTGTACTGTTTTCAGATGGGCAACAGAAATACCCATGAGAGAGAGCGGGGTCATCACAGTGCTGGAATTTCTCACCTGCCAGAAGAGAGAGCAACATCCTTGAGTGCCATCAGCAGGCTCTCTCCCTCCACATAGGCAAAGGAAATATTGATACAACCTGCATCGCAATGAAGAAACAGTGACCATCAGACAGTGGGCCTTCAGGCCTACTCAACCTGGGGGCCCCTCCAAGTCCTCTTCCTTGACAAGGTTTGGCTACAAGGAGCTCCGTCATTTTCTGACTGACTCTCTGCGTAGCAATTGAAGAGCAGCTTGGATCAAGCTGCTGCAATGGATTTGACTGGAGGAGGTGCAGGCTGAGTGGACCTGCTAGGATTTGTATCAGAAATATAAAATATGTTTTAATTAAGAACACTAAGCTACAGTGGGGACTGTGGGGTTTCCAACTTACATTTAATCCCTCAGTTGCTGAAGGTTAAGAAAGAAATCCACACATCACTGCTAACCGATCACTTTCTTTTTTCAATTCAGAAGATGAAATCATACATGTGATTGAGACCAGTCCACTCTCACCCAGTGCCTATCGATAAGTGACCTCTGGTCCTGGAAAACTGGATTTTGGCCCAAGGTTTTCATTGCAACCTTGCTTTTAACTAGCTAATCCAGGTAGTTACTGGCACAACTCGACAAGTCGACTAGTTTCTCCCAGCTCTTCAGTTGCTGGCGAGTTAAGAGGGGCTTGCAAAACCTACAGACACAGCGCCCCCTCCAGGACCAGGATTGGATTGCCCTGCACAAGACCATCCTGACATCCCGATCGTGGTGAACTTTTGTGTAGATTTTTTAACCAATAAGCAGTCTAACACGTACAGTCTGAGAATGGCGAGGAAACACCATACACAATCTCAAATCATCATGCATAACAAGAAGAATTCCTGTTAGGCAGGTCAGGAAGCAGCTACCAAATTCTCATTCGAGCAGCATTCTCTCACAATAATCCATCCATCCATTTTCTAACCTCTTCAACCAGTACAGGGTGGTGGGGGAGGCGGAGCCCGTCTCAGCAAGCAGCAGGCACAAAGCAGAATACAACCTGGACGGGACGTCAGACCATTGCAGGGCAGACGGACAAACACAGACACGCACACTCACACCACAGCCAATTATCCCAGAAGCCTATTTACTTACCAGCATGTCTCTGGACTGTGGGAGGAAACCGGAGCACCCGGAGAAAACCACATAAACACAGACAGAACATACTAACTCCTGGCCGACAACACCCCAGGTCTGGAACTGAACCCAGGGCCCCAGGGGTGTGAGGCAGCAATGCTAACCACTGTGCTACTGTGCCACTACCTATGATGATAAAATGGCCCATATCTGACAAGGGCATTTAAATACCCCAGCCCATACACGAATGTCAAACAGGGTAACTTGTAGGGGAGCCTGCCACCTCCTGCCCAGCAATGTGCTTTCGGAAACAGATCAAAAGCCAGACATGGCGGGTTCATGTAAAACCCAGCCAGTATCATCACCGCCAATCACTGACGCTTCCGAACCCGCGGCGCAGCCCAGCGAATCTGACGACCGAGAGCGGCACATCACCTGGATACCTCTTCTCGGGATCTCCATTCATTACCACATCCGGGATTCCGGCCATGATTTTCCCGAGGAGACGGTCAGCCAGCATCGATATCCGCCTGTGATCGTACTGCAGGGAAGACAGAGTGAGCCTGAGAATCTTTTGCAGGTTCTGAGAAGATGGGGGGCAGGGAGACCAGCTGCACCATCTTTGCTGTAATCAAACCAATGAAAAAGTTTGCATCTACGTAGCTAAGCCTACATGCAGAAAGCAGGATCAGCAGGTTTTCTAGGGCTCTTTAAATGCTCAACCGCCGAAGATCTTTGCAAGCTGTTCATCCAGTCAAGTGCAGCAAATGATTAGCTCCTTAATTAGCTCATTCGGAGCAGAACCCTTCTGGTCCACGTGAGGAGCAGGCGTCTCTCTGCCCACACGGTCTCCGCACCTGCATTTCCTGCTGTGCTATCTCACAGGCGGCGCCAAGGCCCACGACGAGCGGGGTGGGCACCGTGCCAGAGCGCAGCCCCCTCTCCTGCCCCCCCCCACTCTGCAGGGGATCCAGTCGCACCCGGGGCCGCCGCCTCACGTACAGCGCCCCCACTCCTGCCAATAAGCGCAGAGAGAAAAAAGAAAACCTCGTCACCCACAGGGCTCCAGAAACACAGGGTATCGGAAGCTAGAGGACCTCAAAACACTTCAACCCTGTGCACCTAAACAAAATCCTCAGCGGGGGCCTGACATCTACGATCACAGCTTCTTGATAAAGACTTCCTCCAGCTGCTTCTTGTTGAGGATAATAATGAGCTAACGACTCTGCGGTAAACACGAAGGCCAGGACAAATACGATGCACCCCAGCCTTACTGTAGATGCACACAGCACTACGTTACTTATCAGAGCAGGGAGAATGTTCTTGGCAATGAGGGGGAACGGAAATGAAGGGCTTGACGTATGCTGCCTTGCTTCCCCACTGCTCACATTCAAATCAGCTGATCTCAACACAGACCCATGCCACCATGCGCCCTGTGCTGGAACTGCACGGGAGTGCGGAGTGTCTCATGCCACTTGTCCCAGTGCACGTCTTTTGCTCAGCCAGTTCCTTCTTTATTTAGCCTCTCATCAAGCAATTAAGTTGGCCGTCTTGCATTGGTGACAACAGGAATAGGGAACAGTTGTATAACAACCACTGGAATAGTAAATTGGTTTTGGTAAAACAATGGTATTAGCTACAGTAACTCCACTGTCTTCTGGTTTTCACTGCACCTTCATACGACTTGTACTCACCTACGCCTCATCTCAATAGACGTACTGTATATTCAGTTAATAAGGAAACTGCAGTTGACTCACATAGAACGGAAATTCAGAGGCACCACTTGTCTATAATCGTGCTTCACCTTTTGGACCATAGATCTTGTGACCACTGATTGACATCAGATCGACGTTCCACTCGTTGACGTTAACCGGGATCTTCCCCACGGCCTGAGCCGCATCCGTGTGGAAAAACACCTTTTTGGAACGGCAGACGCGACCTGATCCGGAACAGAACACAAATTTCCTTTGAAAATGTAAACACGGCTATGGGAAAGATAAAAAAATAAAAAGCATGAAGCCACCCCAACTGCAACAGGAGCACAGGGTCTCTCACCTATTTCTTTCACCGGCTGTTTCACCCCAATCTCGTTGTTGACCGTCATGACTGAAACCAGGCTGGTGTCAGGCCTGATGGTCTCTTCCAGTTGCTGACAAACACAACACAAGGCAGATGAGCAAACTGAGAAGTGGGCAAGAACACCCATAATGCTGCTTAGACGTTTCAACTTGCTCAGTATTTTTAATCTAGTAAGAACTGAACAAACCTAAGTCCGGCCTAAGATTTAATTCAAAGGTGTAATTCAACCTGAAACGCAGCTGTGAAGTCTGTAAACCCAAAAGGGTAACAACGTGGAGTATGGTTATGTAATGCACGTTTCCTGAATGATAGTCAATGAGTAAATATTGAATAAAAAAGCACTATGAGAATATCGAGATACACGCTGTAGGAAGCTCAAGATCTAAATAGTCAAATGAAAGCACATTTAGCTCCCCTTCTCCCAACGCACCGCTACAAACACAACACACACCTCCAGATCAACGAGGCCGTTACTTTTTACAGGCAAGTACGTGACGTCGAACCCTTCGGCCTCCAGCGCTCGGCAGGAGTCCAGCACGCACTTGTGCTCCGTCTGCGTGGTGACGACATGTTTCTTCCTGGACTTGTAGAACCGCGCCACACCCTGCAGTCCGAGGGAACACCAGGAAAATCGCATTACGGGGGGAACCGGTGAAGGACAACCCTGGGTCACGAAAGGGGGGCCAACCTGCAGGCCCTGTCTGTCTCTTTATAGTCACCACCTGGTTGAAACTAGGACACAAGGCTGTGTGTGTTTCAAAGCAGCAATGAATGGGCTCAATTCGTGATCAGAGCGGTCAGAGAGGTCAGTGGGCATCATGGTCTCTCACTGCTGGTGTGAGACGCTCTATTGTTAAATGAGAAACATTCTGGTACAAGGGACAGGAAGGGAAAACGAGAATGGACGTTGGCCTTCTAGTATTCAATACAACATTATTATAATCGTAGCATGACCCTGCCCATTTGGTCTGTCCTTCTGCCCCTTAATGAGCCACACAGTCTTGACCATTAACTGAATGCACAGGTTGCACTTAATCAACACTATCGATTAAACACCAATCAGGTTACACACGAGAGGAGGCAACTTTCTGTTGCTGTGATGCGCACTTTGATTGACATGTTGTTGGACTCCGTTGCGCCGCTGGTGAACACGATCTCCCTGGGATCAGCCCCAATCAGGTCGGCCACTTGCTACACAGGGAAGACAGAAAAGCAGCACAGGGTGACGACGGAGGAAAAAAAGAGAAGCGTACATTTACAGTTCTTTTCTAAATCAATACCTTCCCTGTGCTTTAAATTCAGATTCAGAACGGCATGGCATGGAGCTGACTCAAAATCAGCACGCTACTTCTGGTTTAAGGTGTTTTTTTTTTTTGTTTGCCGCTGCTGTAAATGCCCCAGTCCCGATCATCCCGAGACGCCTGAGCGGCACCTGCAGCGCGTCGGCTGCCGTCGCCCAGGCCCGGTGGATCGGAGGGGGAGCGCGCGCACGCCGGGCTCACCTTTCTGGCCATCTCCACAGCCCTCTCGCTCTCCCAGCCGTATGCATGCGTTCTGGAGTGAGGGTTGCCATAGTAATTCACCTGATAGGGCAACATGGCATCCAGCACGCGGGGGTCCTGCGGGGAAGAACGGACAACCGTGGGATCCTGGGCATGAGTGGAGAGGGGCCCTGCCAATAAGAAGGTCGTGGGTGCGGATCCCCCTTGCTATGGCCACTGAAAGCAGGCACTTCACTACTGCTGCTGCCCCAGTACACGGTGAGGTTCCTCATCCCTCTGTTCTGTACCCTCTTCATTCAGCCGGAGCCTATCCCAGCAAGCAGCGGCGCAGGGCCGGGTACGCCCTGGAGGGGACAACAGTCCATCGCAGGACACACGCACACTCACACCAGGGCCAATTTCCCCCAAAGCCAATTAACCCACCAGCATGACTTTGGACTGCAGGAGGAACCCCAGAGAAACACGGGGGGAACATGCAAACTCCACACAGACAGCACCCAGAGGGCGAAAAGGAACCCAGGGCCCCTGAGCTGGAATGCCGCCATCCTGACCACTCCACCACACTGACCCCTGGGGCGGACACGACAGGGCGTAATGAATGTCTGAATGTGGTAATTAACCGAGCCGACGTACCATCGGCGTGGTGGCTTGGAAATCCATGTACAACGGGCGCAGCTCATGTTTCTCCAGGTCTCTGCCCGTGAGGTTCTCTGCCAACAACAAACACATGTGAAGAGAACGACAAAGACAACTGCACGGGCGGAAGCAGGAATGTTTTTTATGTGAAAGGAAAGCTCCACAGGCGAAACTTTGTGTTTCACAGAAATAAACCTTTACTTGTTCCTTTGCAGCCTACGCATGTTGACGCAGCTCCCTGCTTGGACATGTTTTTATGTGGTGCCGGTTACCCAACAAAACCTGTAAAACGGACTCAACAGCACTTATAGTATAATCCAAAAACTGTTACCTTTCTCCCGGTGGTTAGCATTCGACACGCTTTCGGAATAATTCCACGCACGACAGGGAAAACCACCCCTGCTGGCTCCAAAAATGTTTCTTAGCACAGTCCTGCTCAGCATCGTAACGCGAAAAACAACTTACGTTGTAAGTCTCCACAATCGGTTCACTACAGTAAGGAGATTTCAACTAAACTCACGTCCGTGGAAGACGAAAAGGGAAAGAACTGCGTTTGAGCAAAGTTGCGCTCTGAAGGGCAGACTGATACACCAAGCTGGGGAATAACTTTCCTTACATCATCACAGACAAACACACTGTTACGCGCACACCCCTACCTACGCGAGTATACAACAGGAAGTGCACTTTGACCTTCAACTTCACACCGGAAGTGTTGTTGCTGAAGCCAAAACGGGGAAGAGAGCGCCACCGTCACGTGGAACTCTGCAGCTCAGGGTGCTGGGAGTTTTTGAGCGACACCTGTCCCGTCCAGTAGCGCCTCGATCGCCTAATAATCAGAAATAATTCGGTTATGTTTTTGTAAACACGTAGTTCTAGTTTATATTAATGTTTAATACCTTGATTGTTTTAATTACCACAATGGCTGTGTTTTTTTAAACGTGACGTCTACTACAAAAGCGTCTTCCTGCGTTTTTGTTCTGTGCATGATTAAAAGAGTGAGGTTTTCGTTTATGATGATAGTGTTGTACTTTTTATCTGCGGTTATACATGCTCTATAAATTGTGTGACATTTAAATAAACGCCACTGTATGTCATTTATTTTGTACGGGTAACTGACCGTCTTGCATTAGATGAGGGGTTTTGTTGCGAACCCAGTATTGAATTCGCGACAGAACACACCTACGTGTTTATAAATAGCTCGTATCCGTCAACAAGACTCCGTGTAATAATAATAATAATAATCCAGCGTTTCGTGCTGTTTGTGTTGCATGTTTCCATTCTTAACGACAAAACCGCTTTAGCCTTTAGCGTTGAAAACGGCGGGGACAAAGTCTCCAGGGCGTCTCCGGGGCTGTGCTGCCGCTGGACAGGTACAGAAGGAGGCGACAGGTTAAAATTTAACTCCACGGGAGAAGCGGCTTTATCGTGGCGTGCAATCCGGCTCGGGGCGCGCCGGGAGGAAAGATGGAGGGGCTCTTGCTCAGCAGCAACCGCAGACGGTAAACTTCGTCAGAGCGGAGGAGACCACGACCGGCGGTACGTCCAACCTTTCCAAATAACAGCCTAAATAATAACAAGAGAACGCTAACGGCAAACAGAAATTGTTTAAAGAAACGACTTTGTATTTCGATGTCACTGTGCTGCTTTGTCGCAGGATGGCAGGGTAGCGACCTGCTCTTTCTGCGCAGAGGGGGAAGGGGAGGCTGTCGGCACGGATTGTGTCGTCGCAGGTAGCTGCTGTGTTGTCCGACCTGTCATGACGGCGGCCTCACTGTCGTTAATGCAGACTGTGCTTTGTCTGGCTCTTTTTTTTTCTGGATGTCGTGACGACTGGACGGGCAGAGCAGGCCGGTTCACCTTGAGTGTATGAAGGCCTTACAAAGGGAGGGACCTTACACAGAGGCCATCTGTACAGGTGGCAGGCTGACAGGTATCCGTGGCCCAAGAACCGTGCGTCGCTTTGTGAACGCTTTTGAGACAGTCCTGAAAATGTTAGTTGTAGTTATATATATATATTAAAGTTTTGTTTTTTATCTATGTGGCTTAAAAAAAAAACTAGCGGTATTGATGTGTGCAACACCTGCAGTTACAGGTAATGACGGTGATAGTTATTTAAGTGCATTTTAAAAACGAAGTCCACCTTTGAGTCCCTTTACGAATATGTTTTTAAAGGTAGGTTTAAAGCACAAAACTGTTTTTGAAGTGGTACTGAACAAATGTCACTCTTTGTGAACTACAGAAAAGAATTTGCTGTATATTGAAGTACAAGTGATTGAATACACCGATAAAATATTGGTGAGGATATTTAAAAATAGACATTGTAAACATCTACGATCATATCCACGTAGCCCTCCTACGGTATAAATCTCCCTGCCTTTAAAACTGTTTGTTCCCTTGTCAAGTACACGTTGTGTAATAGCAGTTCTGCTGTACTGAAGTAAAATCAGTCAACACAAACCTGCGACTTTGCGTCTGGGACGGCGGTTTAGACGAGGAGAGAAGTATTTGTTGCTCTGTCCGGCGTCTTTTATCTTTCATCCGACTTCAGGATTGATTTGATGAAGCCGGAGCTCTGAGTTTGGAGGCTGAAATACGAGAGGCTTGAATACTGACAACTGTATACCGTTTCAAAAGAAAAGATTAAAAGAGTCTGTAAGTTGCACCTGCTCTGTTGATACAGCCCGATTCCCTTAACTCTGTTTATTTCGAATGCAGGTCAAGGAGAGGAGTGTGTTTAACCGGAAGTTTCAAGGACCATGCTTTCTGCAAACTGTTTCCATCATCTCTCCGTCCACCGTCACAAGCTGGCGGCAGCGCGCCGGCTGAGATCGCTGAGCGCGGCCGTGTGGCCCCACCCGGGGCCGCCTCCTCGCCGCTACCCCCCCGCGGAGACCCCGAGGAGGAGGTACAGAGCAGGAGCCCAGTCCGGCCCGATGGCGGCGTCCCAGATGAGCCACATCCTGAGGACGAACGAGTACAGCTTCGGGGTCCACGAGCTGGACGGCAGGAACGCCAGCCCGGTCCTGGGGTTCGACAGCAACCTCCTGCCCTCGAACGTGCCCAGCGAGGACCGCAGGAGCGCCGCCACCTGCCTGCAGAGCAGGGGGATGCTGTTCGGCGTCTTCGACGGGCACGCCGGCTACGCTTGCGCGCAGGCGGTCAGCGAGCGACTCTTCTACTACATAGCGGTGTCTCTGTTGCCGCTGAAGACGCTGATGGACATCGAGGAGGCGGTGGAGAACGAGCGGCCCGTGTTCCCCGTCTTGCAGTGGCACAAGCACCCCAACGACTACGTCAGCACGGACGCCGGGAAGCTGTACTTCAGCAGCCTGCGGACCTACTGGCAGGAGCTCATCGAGCTGCACGCCGGCGAGCACCACAAGGACATCGGCGCCGCCCTGGTGGGCGCCTTCCAGAGGCTGGACAGCGACATCTCGCTGGAAGCGCAGGTGGAGCTCGGGGACCCCCTCTCGCACTACACGCCCCTCAGGGTGGCGATCTCGGGGTGCACCGCCTGCGTCGCCCACGTGGACGGGCTGGACCTGCACGTCGCCAACCTGGGGGACAGCCGGGCCGTGCTGGGGGTCCAGAACGGCAACGGCACCTGGTCCGCCTTGACCGTCAGCAACGATCACAACGCCCAGAACCCCGAGGAGCTAGAGAGGGTACGCCTGGAGCACCCGGTGGCGGAGGAGAAGACCGTCGTCAAACACGACCGGCTGCTGGGGCTTCTCATGCCTTTCCGGGCTTTTGGGGACATCAAGTTCAAATGGAGCGGCGAGCTCCTGAGCAGGGTGCTCGACGCGCGCCCGGACATACTGTCTGCGAACGAATATGCCAGGATGCTCCCTGCAAACTACCACACCCCTCCCTATCTCACCGCAGAGCCGGAAGTCACGTCTCACAGGCTCCGGCCTCAAGACAAGTTCCTGGTCCTGGCCACGGACGGCCTGTGGGACCTGATGCACAGGCAGAACGTTGTTCAAGTGGTTGGGGAGCACTTAACGGGAATCCACTGGCAGAAGCCGGTTTCCGGGACCTCCTTCACCCTGGGACAGATGCACAGCTTACTGGCGGAAAGGAAATCCCGGGCCTCCACGGCTTTTGAAGACCACAACACCGCAACGCATCTGATACGCCATGCCCTGGGAAGCGATGGTTTTGGAGGCCTGGATCCTAGGCGCTTGTCCAGGATGCTCAGCCTGCCTCAGGAGTTGGCTAGGATGTACAGAGATGACATTACAGTTACTGTAATCCAGCTGAACACTCCCATCATTGAAGCACAGTGTAAAGCAGCTGCCTTGTAAATGCTGAGCTCCCACTACCGTTTCATGTGGGAACAGTAAAATCATTTTATAAAATTGACTGGGAACACGAAGTCATCTCTCTGCATTGATATTCTTACAACATTTATCGTTACTGTTCAAAACAATACTTAGCTATAAACATTCACCTGGTAAATAAGCTAACAATTTGAAGACAATAGCAGTGTTACAGGGTTCAAATAGTAATGACAAGATGCTAGGGAAGGCAGTCACAGAGAAAGTGACCTTGCGCCATTATCAGAAAGTTGATTGTATAATTAAAAATATTAGGATTGAGACAACTAGTGGATCTCATTTAAAATGTATATTTCTGTGGTGCCTTCATGCCCAAAAGAGGCACTTCATTAAAAATGAAAATCTGGAATTATTAAAATTACTTTTAAAAATAGCTAGATAATATCCTATCAATTTGTTTAGCACCTAAATTAGCAAAATAGTTAAATACAGGATTTTCTGGATTTATTTCAGAAGGTTCCCGACTTCTCTGTATTTAGAACAGATGAGTGTAATTATGTTTCTAAGTAACCACATTCCAAATACTGCACATTTTAAGTTAACATCCACTGTTAATTTTAATGTACAATTATTGTATAGGGTTGAACAATTTGAATGCAACCCATTGGTCTGAACAAGACACATATGCACCTCTCATAAGAATTACCCATCACAAAAATCGGGTTATTCTTTTATTCATCAGTGTGAACTTTTGTCCGAGCTCTAGACTCCATTGGCAAATGACTAGTTTCTATAAAGCAACCCCCTTTATGTTATGGTTAAACGAAGCAGATGAAAAATTTCCAGGAAGGTATTCTTTACAAATTAAGTCCCACAGAAATACAAAATAAGCTTTTTTTTTTGGTCTGACCCAAACAGGGGTATTGGCACACTCATTTGTGGCCTACCTGAAATACTTTATGCAATGTCAAGGTATACCAACCTTTCTGAATTCATGTCTAAGGGCTTAAGTCTTGCAGGCAGATACAGCTCAAATGTTCAAATTAAATTAATCAGGTAATACAGGTAACTTTAGGTGCTTCCCAAAAAATTCTAAAAAGGAGGCAGAATATCAGAGGACTCATCTCTGAAGATTTAAGACTAACTGGAAGAATGCCACCTATTCATAGTTGGCCTCTGCTAAGCCTCATTCTCCATTTAGGTGATCCCATATTTAAGCATTGCACAAAAATATCAGAACCAAAGGATGTTACAAAGATTGTAATCCTTGGGGGGGAAAAAAAAACAAACTGCTGTGTATACTTTAAAGGAACTTTAATCAAGAATTCTTTACAAAATCAAATCCTGATTACAAAAAACAGTTACTTAATAGAAATACCAGGTGGTCTCTTTGAATTAACACAAATGAAATTACCTGTCATTTAGTCTCCAGAGCTCATAGAGCTTAAAACATTGAAGAACACAATATGCAGACAGGCAAGGGGCATTGCAATGTTGTTTCTCCCCTTCAGATAGCTCCACCAACTAGAATCTTTTTACTGGTACAAATCTTTACTTTCCACTTCTGGATTTTTAGTGAGGAAATGCAACACACTTGCCCGCCTTAAACCTATAAAGCACGAGACAGCTGTATGTACAACAAAACATTTACAAGATATGATAAAATGGTCAACAGACAAGACCAACATTAGGCAAGCTGTACATAAAAACTGTTGTCCCTTTATTATGCACGTCCCATGTTTTCACGCACAATATTTATCAAATTACTCAAGATCAGGCGTACTATTACTCCAATTCGGTCCATCTTCTGTCACCCATGTCCGTACTATTGTAAATACACTCCACAATGTTACAGCTCTCGTGAAAAAATGGCGCTTCAATCCCCGCTTAGAATATGAAAAAAAAAAATAAAGGAGAACCTCTCGGCAGCAAACTGCTACTGAAGTACACTGACCTGATCAATCACTGATCAGGAGATTTCTATCTCGGAGAAAAGGGGCGGGGGAAGGAGGCAGACCACGAATGCTATGTACAGACTGACCAATACGCATTCTCAACTAAAGCGGTTTTCAGCTTTGAGGAAAATCACCGCCGAGAAGGCATCAACAGCTGCGTTGCCATTACGGAGTCAGGGAAAAGGTTGTGGTATGTCGGGAGTGGAACATACGCTGCGGTGATCATTTTACCTGCAGGGAGAGGAAGAATAACAGTTACCTGAAGAACACCTCATAAAGGAAACATCTCTAGCTTCATTTGTCTTAAAGGTGGTTTACGTGCCTAGGATCGATTTCTAAACCTACCTGCAAACCATCTTCCATGCAAAGCATTAACAGCAGCCATTGCAGCCGGTATAGTTGGACATTTCACATACACATTGCCCTGAAAAAAAAGAGAACAATCAGAACGTGAACCTCCCCTCCCCAAAAACTTCCAAATATTTTACCAATTCAAAGCATTACTGTTCTTACTTGTGGTGAATTCTTGTCCACGTAAATGTGAACAACCCCTCCGTGCTTGTTGCATTCTTCAATAACATCATCTTGGATTTCTACATCCCAGCCGGGTTCATCTTCACTATAACAAAAAAATCATTTTTTTTCTCACAAGGGCTCCAACAGGCAAAAATGATAGAAGCACTACAATTCAAACGTTTTCAGTACTGTAAAAAAAAAAATCTCAAACGCTACCAACAAAATATCATAACAGTTCATCTTTAAATGCTAGACAATTATGTATAACTTACATATACTGTACTTAAACTAGTTATTGCTAAGTATTTTGCCAACCCACATCAACAGTGAAGTGGTCCCAAGCAAACGTACAAAGCTATAGCGATACTCACGATTGAGGATTGAACATGTTGGACAGCTGGAAGCAATGTGTTGCCAGTGGTTGTGTCGGTAAATTCAAAGCTGTATTGAGGTTTAAATTCAAGGCAGGGGTGGCAGCAGCTGCAGAGAAAAGGAAAGGCTCTTGTAATTTAAGTATTCCCCCAAAAAAGGCCACAATCACAAGTCTTTTGTGGGTGCATTCTCCATATGTGCAACAGCAGTTAAATACCAGGCAAAAAAGGTTCAGCAACTTTGTTTGCCTCCCTGTTTTCTATTAAAAAAAACGCCTACATGTATCTTTCTTCCAAGGGCACTGCCAACTCAGACATTATCGCTCGCGACCCTGCATGCTTCAATTTGCGAGCAAGAAAAAATCTTGGGAAACAAGGTACAAATCACCAAGACTTTTTCCCCAGTTCGAGCTTAGATACAGCCAACAGAACACAAGACTGGAGGTTATGCCACGTTTTGGATATGCAGATCAAATTCACCTTCGGGCGGTTGAGTCAGCCTTGCTTGTAAATCTAAGGATTAGAAGAAAAAGAAATTAAAAAAAGTGCACTTCACTCATCTCACAGCATGATAACTTACAGCACAGGTGAGAATGCTGGGAATCATGGTATGAGTGTGCACAGAAAGATGGAAGGATCTGCATGTTTACATGTGATCTACAATGAACCTAAATCATGAATACGCACACAATCCAGACATTAAAGTAAACTGATACAAAAGTCTGGAACAAAACTGTTTTTTCATGAACACAACAGTAGGTAAATAACCCTGTGAATACTGCTAACCTGGTTTAACAGGTGCTATGTATAATTCATGAATAAACAGGTTATTTCCAAATTCATGCAACTATTTACTTATGCAGTTTGTGTATATCCAACTATGCACAGTGAAACTGAAGCCTGATAGAATTGGGTAAGGTCTTTACCTGTAACAGCTGCCATTGCGCCAAATGAGATTGAGCCACTCATTTGCAGAGCCTGCTGAGCTGCTGGAGGGATCTGTAATCCAGTACCTACAAGAGCACAGAAGTGTATACATTTTAGCTAAAAGTTTACTTACAGACTAGAAAAAAAAGCCATCTAAAACTTTGAGACCTAGACAAGATCATTTTTGGCCCATTTAATTGAAAAATCTTAAAATGTAATCTCAATAGTAAAATTTTATATACAACATCAATACTCTAGCCAGCATGATGAACCAAGCCTACACGATGCACCCATTGTGTACGTTTTTGTCAATACAAGCTTTCTGACCCAGAAATTTACCTTCAGCAAGCCTGGCCATCAGCTGCAGTCGGCCCGTTGTACCGAGATCTATCCCAGTCCTTTCCAGCTCGTCACTGTCCAGGAACGAGCTGGCTGTGGATGCATCAGTGCGCTCAGTCACATGTCCTACTTTCATTGGCCTACCAGCCAGTTCAAATCCATTCAATTGTTCCAATGCCTTTTTGGCACATTCAGCATCTGAAAACTAAAGAAGGATTTCTCATCAGTTACAATTCAAAACCTTGAGCATTTCAAATTCCATATAAGCATTCCTTAAAACTTACTGTAATGAAGCCATATCCTTTGGATCGCCCAGTTTCACTATCCATCATCAGCTGAATACTCTCAATCTAGGACGAAATAGAGCAAGTTAAAATCCACAATTCAAAAATATCCTATACGATTTCAGCAAAAGAATATGCACACTGTTACAGCAGTGACAAAGACTCTTCTTACCCTTCCAAAAGGCTCGAAGATCCCCCGGAGCATGTCCTCTGTGATATTGAAATGCAAAGATCCTACGTACAACCTCATCGGACCAGCATTGCCTTTCTGCAAGTTATTGGCCATGGCAGCAGCCCTGTTCTTCTCAGCCTACGAAACCAAAAAAAAAAAAATCTAGTTAAGATTTGTAACACTACCGCAACTTGCAATACCTCCAATGCCAGAGTTCTCTGGAACTGTATACTCTGAAAGAAACTAGGAATCAAGCTGGTTTAACTATTTTAGGCATCTCACCTGTGAAGCCTGCACAATGATTGGCACTCCCAGAAGCCTCTGTCCTGTCAGACCGATTGCCAGTGGCACAGAGTTTGCTTCTACAAACTCGATGTAAGCGATCCCCTTTGATCTCCTCGAGTTTCTGTCAGAAATCATTCTCACATCTCTTACCTGGTGAAAGAAAAACAATTAGGAGGCAGCCACCCAATTACAATACAGTCTATTTACTTACGTTACTAGTCTAATATTACTAATAAACAAATAGTAAAGCGAAAATATTAGTTTATTAAAGCTACAGAATAGTACTTCTTTAATCACTCATTGAGTAGTTGATGCATCCCAGAAAATCCAATTCAGAAAAAAACGAGTGACCTAAACTAAAAACAGTTCATGTAAAAATCAGATATTAAGAGAACTGAAGAGTTTAACAAACTATGAACTATGTCAAATTAAATGTTAAGAGCCCACAACTTACTTTTCCTACAGCAGAGAAAAACTCTTCAAGGTCCCGTGGTCGAATTCTGGCAGCAAGCTGCATGCAGAAAACTGTGCGGGCATCTCTTTCCTCAGGCGTTAGGTTATCAATAGGCTCTCTATTAAAAGACAGAGGTAAGAACTTATGAAGCGCTACATGACTTGAGTTCTGGTTTTGAAACAGAAAACGGCTGCAGAGGCTGTCGTAATGAGGGAAAAAGGTCCCCAGTTGGAAGCTGCTCATTAGTTGCCACATTCCAGAATTAGAAGCCCCTCAAAAAGAAACATGCACAAGTGAAACACTACAATTGAAAAACGTACTTCCACCCAATGGAAACATAAGCTAAAGCTCACCTGACCGGGCTTTTGTCTTTCCTGAAAGGGCTTCTACTTCTGGAGCGTTTCCTGCTACAATTTAAAAAAAAAAAGATTCAGTCAGTTCGAACTGAGGAGACACACTATGGTGCTTGTGCACCATACACTGCACAAGCAACTATACACACAAATGATAAAGAAAATAGTATAAAAACCTTAGTTTGATGGCAGGTGGTGGGCCAATCTTCCCTCTGGAACCACCGTTAAATTTCGGCCCAGAACTGCGATTAAAAACAAGGTTCATCTCAGTAACTATGACGTTAAAGCCATCTAAGGGTGGCACGATCACACACTGAAGATTAGAAGACCCCAGTTAGTCTTAAGAAGTTGAACTGCTAACCAACACCTACCTTAACACCCCCCTGAGAACTGTACTTCCGTTAATACCAAACGTATAAAGTAGGCAAGCAGACGAAGTCCTGCCCTCATTCTCCCCACAACAAAAGCAGATAACCTGCTTTGATACAAAACTCGAAAGGGACCAACTTTTTCCCCCCGGAATTATGTGCAGGTAGGCTTTAAAAACTGTTAGTTTTAACACCAATTAACAACGAGCGTAAACAGATGAGAAGAGAACCAAAACATGCAGTTAACCAAAAACAGGCTCTTATAGTTGAATCCGTAAACGGATCTGCGGACGCAGCAGGACGGACACGGCCACAAGGACAAGGGACTCACAAGGGGCTCCTCCGCGCTCTGTAGCGGCCGCTCCTCTCTTTGCTACGAGACCGGCTGCGGCGGCGGTCCCGGCTGCGGCTGCGCTTCTTGTCGCGGCTCCGGCTCCTCTTCCTGTCGTGGCTTTTCTTGCGGTCCCGGCTTTTGCTCCTCTTCCGGTCGCGGCTTCTACTGCGACTCTTGCTCTTGCTCTTCTTTTTCCTTTCGCGATGAGGAGAGAGCGCCGTGTGAAAACTCACAAGACCCCATCGGAATATGGTGGAGGGGGGTCAGTGACAAGACCCTTAACCAACGTAAAGGCTTAGAGAACAAGAAGTGAGCAACTGTTATATCTTACTTGTAACACCACCCCCCACCTCCATTAGGGATAAAATATTCTACATTAATAATTGTAGTTTTCATATCTACCTGGGCATGGAAATACGTATGTATAAAATCCATTTTATACTCAACGTTCTATATAAAAAGTAATAAAATGACCAAGATTCTTAAACAAGAGCCCCCTACCCTCAATCTTACCTGCTCCTGCGAGGAATCATAACCACGCCCACGATACTTTATTTCAAGTCTCACACCCTCAAGCTAAGATAAGAATTGCCATTTCAGAATTACAGGCACAGCTAACCAAAACACAAAACTAACGATTAAAACACTATAACCTTAAACTGTTTTCATTACAGTTTTCAGGGCCTATTAGGCAATGTGTTATGCAATGTCTGTCAACTACAAAAGATTTAGTTAGCATAACGTTACCATGAATGCAAAAAGACGCTACACAACCAACGTGCAGAGTCAGCCATGCCAACTCCAGCGCTCTCACACTGTACCAAATTGTGGCACGTGTTACAGCGGGTCAAGATGCACGACGTTACTGGTAGATGGAGGAAGCCACTTAAGCCATGTGCCACCGGCAATCCCTTTCCAAGTTAACAGCGTGGTCTCGGGCATGAAAGATAAGTCCTGTCCCACCACCCACTCCTCCCACACAGTCAACCTGCTCCCTCAGGGACCCCAGCTTGCACTTACTTCTTACTGCGCTCCTCGTGGCCATTCGCATTACTGGGCTTGTTCTCATCCTAAGCAGGGTCGATAGAAGAACATCATGAGGACGAAGAGGTAACATTTCAAGTCGTCAAGGTAAAGGGGGATTGGGAACAAAAGAAAATATAAAAAAATCATTTAAAAAGTATTCGTACAGATTAAAAGTCAAACTTATAAAGTTGGGTCCCTTTGTAACCACTTTGCTGTTACTTTTCCCCTTTCTTAAAACATATAACAGTAAATAAAACCAAAATTCAAGATCTAATAATCATAGCTGAAGTGGTTAAACATTTGTATACTATTAAGCCAAGTTTAGTGAATATTTGCTGAGCAACTCCTCCTGATCAGTACCAAGGCTATCTTTGCCTAAGACCAATGTGGCCATGCTAGCAGCCAGCCACTAATCGAGTTCCTGTGATGGATGCCATTCCAGTGATCTTCACCCATTTTCGTTCGTGGACTGTAAGAGCTCGATGCCACCTCTGTCACACATCTCGCCCTGAAGCAAACAGGGATTCACACTGCTTAGTAACGTCGACTCCCAAGAAATTCATTTAAAAATAAAATAAAAATCCACCAGTTCAAACTAATGAAACTCCCTAATCCCTATTCCGTTGCATGGAACTAATCCATTTTAGATTTTAAAGGGAACACTTTGTTTTGTTGAAAGAGTTAACACATATGAAATGGATTTAAAATGTGACTATCAATTACCACTTAGCTTAATTGAAAGCTACTGAATAGGTGTGAGAAGGTGTAAATATTAACTGGTGTTAAAACATGCAAAATTACCTGAAATGGTGATTGACCCTTTAACAGGCATGAGGTTTAAAATAAATATCAACAAAGGGTTTAAGAGACAGTATTCACATTTTAAAGTTGTATTTGCCCTCATCTCAACAAAAATACTCACTGCTCAAGAAATGAGAATTCAGCAATGTGGCATAAAAAATGAATGTTCAGATTAATTCTACAAATCAATCTATTCGCTAGCTACTGGTGCAGCATAAACAAAAACCATGCGCATTCATGTCATGAATGAATTGAACTCTACAAGACAAAGTATACAGCATACCTAATGGAATTACGCGTCAAGAATACATTCCCAACTCATTTTCTTCTAAAACAGGAATCTTAAAACAGCATGGCATAACTACACCATGTCTGTAAAATTTGAATACTGTCTCCAATTTACTTTTTTCAGGTTAAATGTGCTTTTGTCATCCATTGCATTCACCTTGTTGCTACCAAACAGGTGCTTGGATGTTCAAAGACGAGGCTCTTTTTACCTAGGGGACCACAATACATCAATACATTGCGCAATTACTACCTTACTGTTTGACAGTTCACACTGGAATCAAAGGTGAATTCATGGGAGTAGAGGTGAGATATCGTTAGGCAAGTCTACAAAAAGAGATAGACGGGCATTTATTCATAATTCTGAATTGAAACTACTGCAACATAGCACATCAGCAAATACATTAAAGTCATTTTTGCATAAATTAAGAGGGTGTGGGGGAAAATGTCAATAGAGCGGTAGTTTCATGGGTAGTGTACTCTGGCAATCCACATCAAACCCTTTAAAATTCACTCACCTTTTTATAAGGAGCCTCAAGCATAGCCTCAATATCGAAATCGTCTGCCATACTGCCAATCAACCTGGGAGAAAAAAAAAATTGAACAAAGCTGGTATTAAACCTCATGCAAGTACAACTGCTTCCACATACAAATTGCTAAACATAGTAACAACAGGAATAAGACTGAACTTCTGTGTGGAAGAAGCCACATCCCTAAAAGATCTTTAGTGATGGGGCGAACCTTCAATGCTGGAGTATGTGCAAAAAAGATTTGAAAATGGGAATTTTAGCATGACCATTTCATAATGCATGCAGTATACAAAATCTAGAATCACATCAAAACCAGGGGCAAAGGTCATCACTGCATCATATTAACAAAAAAAACCTCCACCAGCAGTCTTTAATCTGTTTGTAAAGAACTTCTACCCCCCCACCCCAGGATGCAATCAGATGTCTGAAGCCAAAACTCCCTGCAGGAACACGGGTACCACAAGCAGGCAGAATAAAAAAGGAGAAGCTGTGGTCTTGATCTTAGTTTGGTATTACTGTCATTCTTGGCCTCGGTCCTTGGTTAACTGACTTTAATACATGTCCTTTCAGGTGAATACCTGTCAAGAGAAGCAGGTGGGTGAGTTTACTCTGCAGAACCCATTGTATGAGGACAAAGTTTTTTTCACTCTTGTGCGCTCAACTGCACACCACCTCAGGACTTCAAGTCTAATACTACCCCCTCCCAGGCCATAGGAAACTCGCACAAGTTTCTGCCAGGATCATGCAAGAAATGTCAATACTGGGGACGGAATGAATGGACAGATCCTTCTGAAGTTTCTGGATGAGGCTTGTTAAAGAATGAATAGAATAATTTAGCCCAAGGCTTTTTTTTTGCCTCTCACAGGACTAGATTTACACTGGAAGGCCACAGAAAAACAGCTTTATATATGTAAGAAAGTTAAAGTCATACTCTGGAAGTGAATAAAACTACCAGTTTCTCAACTTGTCAAAACCGGAAAAGGATAAATGATCTTCCACCAAAAACATGCAGAGAAATTCGACTTAAGCCAAATTTTGCAGGATATCTCTAGTTTTAAAACTACGCCACTTCCCCAATTCTTAAAAAGTTAAAACTATTCCGTCGACCATACGCTAATGTACTCTTTCACATGTTCGACAACATTAGTTACCTGCTTCCGCGACTCTTCCACGCGTGCATAGCCGCACCATGCAGGCGAAATTTGTTTAGAAAGAAACTACTGGTGTGAGGGCAAAGTTCAACAACTTCTCGCCGAAATACTACGTACCTTGCACGTAGACATCACAAAGCGCATATATATATATAATCAAAAACTCGAGGTGGGCACAGTACTATATAGCCCACTAAGACAATCCATAAGCAAAACTTCTTTACCAAGTGTTTCGAGTAAAACCCAGAGCACCGCGAGTACGGTGACAAGACTGAAAAATAAGCAAAATGTTAAACAACTCAAACTCACTCCATTGTTTGTGAAACGTCGTGGTTTCTTGCCGTCTTCGAACATTAAAACGCTTTAAAGACCCTCATTCTTTAATTCGAAAAAAACTACCAGACCGAAGACCATTTATTCGATTTATGGGATCTACTTGATAAAAAAAACGTTCTGGCTTTATTTTATATCTCGGAATTGCTGCAATTCTGTATAATAGCGAATAAAAAAGGAAGTTTTTCGGCTGCTCACATTTAAACAATTACGTAACAGCTACCGCCCTGCATTACCAGGAGGGGAGAGGTAAATGCGTCGGTCTAGAGAATTTCAAGACTACAATAATCCATAATCTACTCAAATTTAGGCAAATATTACCTTTAAAAAGAACAAACAGCGTTCTCGTTTCAAACGCCTTCCAACGCTGTCCTTTCTCGACTCGGCTTCACTTAGGCCGCTCTTGACCTCCGATCGTTATTACTCCTCCTTCTTCTTCAAACAAAGCTCTGAATCACTTCTCTTTACCTTCAGCAACACTTTGCTTCTAGATCAAGTTTATAATGCGCCGCTAAACAGCTAAAACAATCTAAAAAAGAAACAGAAAGGCTTTTTTTTTTCCACCCGCAGTGCGCGAAGTTATTCTCCACCACAATCCCCGACTTCGGCTTCTCCCAAAATGGCGCCGGTGGACAACAGGTAAGGGGTCTCTTAACGGCCAACGCAGGGGCTTCTCGCGCCGGACAACCCGGAGACGAAGTGCCACACGATTGGTTGAGAATGTTTCCGCTGCAGCGACCGGCCAATCAGCGATCGCCTGGATCGCGGTGCAGCCAATGAGCGACCTGCAACAGGCCTGTGGGAGCCAACCACGAGACGCATGTCGCTGGAGCACGGGGTGCATATGGCTCTATTGTTTTCAGATCTGGGCCTGCATGTTACTGCATAAAGGGCTTTCGTGTAACAGTACTGTGCATGAACAGTTTCTTCAGTTTACTGTTATTCAAATAAATACAAATGTATATTTTTTGTCCTTACGAGCGCTCTAATTATTTTAAAGTTCTCATTAAACCAATTCACAGTTCGTCAAAAGTGAAACTTGAGTTTAAGTTGTTGACATTAATTTAACTGTAACTTGGCCGGTGTGAATTCGCAGTTTAGGCGTGCCCGGCTGAAAGATCATGTACATGCAGTCTCCAGCTTGCCGTGTGTTGTGTGAACTATGCACTTTATGGTGGACTAATTACGAACTATATAGACCAGAAAACCAAAACAAACAAAAGAGCATGGACGTAAGAATCGTGGTAAACAAGCATTCTCTTTAGTAACACTGAAACCCGTTTGTATGGCGAAGAAAATGCAACATTTCTGAGGTGCTAAGCGGTTGAAATTTGCTTCAGTAGTTTGTATCATTTGTACGAGCGAAGTGCTACTACTCCCACAGAATTTTAGCGTTAGCAGTATTAGATTACAATCTCAACCTCAACAACAACAACAGTATGTAACGAAGCAGGGTTTTTGTGTATCGTTCGCAAGTTTTAAGCGATTACAAATATTTCGGCATGTTTCGCACAAGCCCATTTTCTGCGGTCTCTGGTGGCTCAGTCGCTGCGATTTTTAATGTTTCTGACAAGCAAATTATTCCAGGCCAAAAGGCTATTGATGATATTGATGAAGCGAGGACTCGGCACGCATGGTATCTTAAATCGGATGGAATGCAGTACATTTGCTTTTTAAAGTATACACTCTTGTGTGTGTGTGTGGTGTAATGCCTTACCAACTCTAGAGTGACTTTTGTTTCCCCCTCGGACCGTGTACAGCGTTCTTTCGGAATTATTCCCCAGTGCGTGATGCAACTATGAGTACTTGTTTTTCGTTTTGTCGGTCGTAAACACGCCTTACTGTAACTTGCTGGTTTCCGGGAGTGAGGCCCGCAGTACCCGGCGCGGCCGCTAGAGGACTGTTGTGTGATGGACTGTTCTAGAAATTCTCAGAGACTCACACCGCTGTACAAACGGGCAGCTGATGATCACGGGTCACGCTGTGCTCCGTTTGTTTGGTTAATTGTATGAAGTTGCAACAGTTATTTCCGACAGCTGCTGTCGATGTGGATACTGTCGCTGCATAAATGTTTCCCACGCCCAGCTTTTGCAGCTCCAGGGAAAAGCTGGAGATTCGCTAAAAAAAACAACAACTTTCCATTCTGACCAATTTTTCTTAAAAAAAAAAACAACAAAACAGCAGCATTACGCTCTTGTAGCCTGGTCAGTTGTGCAGTGTACATGGTGGACCGGGAGGTGTAAACCGTAATTAGGGTTTAGATTCACGCCATGCCAACGTCAGTCAGGAGGACGGTCCGTGTCACAGGGCGTAGTCACACCCCTCTTCACGACTGTCGATGCGGTGGTGTTTTAATCCTTCTCGGGTAGGTCGTGCTGAGCCACATCTTCAGGACGTGAGGTCTAAATAAAGGCTCGGCCGTGTGGGGAGTATCCGGCCGGGTGTTGGCAGGGAGGTCGGCATCGCTGCTCCTCAGCGCTGGGGTCTTGGGTGCTGCCTGCGTGGAGTTCGCATGTTCTCCCCGTGCTCATGTGGGTTTCCTCCGCTCGCTCTGGTTTCCTCCCACAGCCCACGGAGGCGCGTGTAGGTTGACCGGTTTCTGGGGGGGAAACAACTGGCTCTGGTGGGGGGGGGGTGCGTTTATGTCTGAGCTGCGAAAGACCGGCGTTGCTGTGGGGTGTGCCCCGGCTTGCACCCCCTGCTTGCCGGGATAGGCTCCGGCTCCCTCCACGGCCCAGGACCCAGAGGAGCAGGTAGTCAGTGGAGGGGTGGATGAAGCAATTAGAACATCTGGAGGCCGAAATGTGGATGTGGCGCTCGTTTCCGATCGCTAGGTTTTAAGCCCGTGTCCTCCGGGGGCTCACTGCGCGCTGACCCCCCCCAGGGGGAGCGGAGCTGAGCTCTCTGGACGGCGCTGTGCCCGGCTAGCTGTCAGCTTGCGGGCGGTCGCAGCGTCCTGAGTCACCGCGAACAGCCCGGGGGAGAAAGTCTCCAATGGTCGATGGTATCGATGCCCGTCGTCACCGGACCCAGGACAGCTCAATAGGGCGCATTCGTTTTGGCTGCGTGCTTGGGCGCTTGCCAGCACGCCCGGACTCTGCTGCCTTTCCCTGTCCCTGGACAGCAGTGACGAGGTCTAAGTGGGATCCCACTCCTAACAGCCGCCCCCTCGGCCACAGCGCTCGTGTGAATGCTTGTAAACGGACACGTGTCGAGTCGGAGGGAGCACACAGACAGACAGAGGGAGATACGTCCGCCATGGGTACAGGACCCCCTGCTGAGCTCAGGGTGCCCCTGCCCCCTTCCCTGCATCCCCCGCCCCCCCCCCACTTGGGTACAGGAGTCACCTGCAGGGGCAGAAACGGGAGACATGACTACAGGTTCTAGGTTCTAGATTGGGTGCCTCCTGTATCTATTAAGACCCAGGGATTGTAAATCTTCTTTTTTCTCATGTTAAAATGAGGCCCCTGGTCTCAGAGACAGTTGACACTTGTGTCTCGACATGACTGTTTATTTCTAAGTAAAAAAAAGTTATGAATGAAAACAGAGATTCTTGACGTGGCCAAACACTGGAAATGGTCGTCTCAGTGGTAGGTTAGCTTTGCATTTTGAGTTTCAGTGAAAAACAGTGAAATGGAGTGCACTGTTTTTTGTCAGATTACAGAGGGCTTAAAAACTGCTAAAACAACTAGAATAGAGAAAGCCATTGTGACAAATCTAGGTTTACATTTAAGATCATTAAGTACTATTATAAATCACCAGGGCTGCCTATTTTCACTGCAGTTAATGGAAACCTGTCAAAATGGTATATCTGACCAGGAATACAATCTTTTATTTTTAAAATGGATTCTATGGAACTTTCCAGACTTTTTAAGAAAAGCAATTTACAGCTGAAGTTCCTGATATGGAAATGGTTGACTGGCTTCTCAGGAAGAGCATCTCCTGTTTGTGTGCCTGTGTAGTTTATACAGTTATTTAACCTGTACTAATAAGGAGTAGGTTGCAGACTCCGCTCCGGAGCTGCAGTGCAACCAAACCTCCACGTGCACTCAAACTTGCTTGCTTGTGTGTGTGAAGCCAACAGTAGGCAAGCACAGCTCAGCTCAATGTATCTGCTCCCTGTTCTGAGTGCTTCGGCTGTGGCTATACCGAGGCAGCTCTGAGCACCCCATCTATCTTTCACATAGATTTATATTATATCTATAACATTTATATTATTTTAAATGTCTCACTTTGCTGTGGTGTTGCTGCAGCATCATGCTCTGAGCCCGGACGTTGAGCTTGAAAGCAAAAAAAACGTGCTGTAGGAGATTTCATATGCATTCACTCTCATACCAAATTTAAAAACTGAATGACTGGTATTAAAAGAGAAAAAAAAACATGCATGTTTTTTTGCAGCTGTCTTTCGCCATGTTTTGTGTTAAAATAAACATCATGGGGAAATCGAAGGCTTTTCTTGGGCAGTCTGTACGTTCGAGGGACCACGGAGAGAGAGTTCTGTCATGGCAGCCCAGGACTAGCTGCGCGGCTGTGACCCTTGACCTCAGGATTTTTTCTGAGCCATTAGTCCACCCCACTGGGAACATGAGTTCACATGGCCGTACAGCAGAGGCCTAGACCTGACCTCCCTTCCACATAGTTCCATCACACAGAGCTCCAACACAAACACGCTGGGCAAATTCCTCCAGATCGTTAGAGCCAACACGCCCCACCCCCCTCCCTCCTGCGATGCAGGGGCCAAAGAACCCATTGAGCCAGGTTTCAGTATATATTGCCATAAATGACGATTTTAATTTTTCCCGTAAGAAAGAGCACGAGCTAAAAAAGGGCAGCGTTCACAAATTCAGATGTGGAAATTCTGAAGGTGTCATCTGGTCAAACCCAGAGAGGGGTCCGGTGCGCAGATTCGGGTCCAGGACGCGGGGCCCATGCTGGAATGGCCTGAGAAAAGGGGGCGCGGCAGCCCTCCAGGACTGGGCGGAGCCAGCATCCTCCAATCACAGCTCAGCTGTGACCTCCTCCACCTTGCAAGCCATGGTGGAAACAGCTGAGCTGTGATTGGAGGATGCTGGCTCCGCCCAGCCCTGGGGGCTCAGAGCAGCCAATAGCCTTTCAGTGTTGCCCCTCTGTGGCCATCTCGGGATGAATAAGAACTCGTTCGTCCAATTTGCTCCGTGAGTTGTGGGAATTAGCAACTGTAAAGGCATTACTAAGACACTCAGATATGTGCGACAGGCGTCTTTTCCTGCCCAGTGCCCTTTCCCTCACCTGGCTCCTGTTCAAATGTGAAGTAAAGACGCAAGTATGAAGCCCGCAGTGGAGACGCGTGTTTTTCTACAGCAAGAATTCTCCTTTAATTGAAAACAAAGTTACAGCGCTTTAACAAGAGAGAGACTGGAAGCTGTGGCCAGTCTCCAATGCTCCCATCTGGAGAGGCGGCTGCAACATATTTCTGCTGCATTTTATTTCTGTCCTTATCTGTGCTCGCCGGCAGTTGGTTCGGCCGTTAAATTTTCCAGAAGGCGGATTCTGGTGTGCAGGGCCCGCCTGTCAGGGGAACTGGCACAGAATGTGGTTTTGGGGAGGGAGCCCTGTCTCTGGGCATCTGACCGACTGACACAGCAGCCCTCGGAAACTGCA